GGTACCAGGTCACTAAGGACAAGGAAGAAGAGTGCCCACAGTTAACAGTCCAGGGAAGGTTAATCTTGCAGTCCAGGGAAGGATCATCTGGTTTGCCGTGGTTTAAAATGAACTCCCCGCTGAAGCTCTGCTGCCCTTGATTCTAGGAAACAGGACTTTGAAGTCCCTGTGAAGCTTGAGCCCACCTTGTGATGAATTCACTTACTGGGTTTAAGTGTGGAGGTGAGGGCTGGAGCTATAGCCCAGCGGGCTGACCTGGGTTTGATTCCCAGCATCCCATCTGGTCCCCCAAGCACCGCCAGGAGTAATTCCTGAGTGCTGAGCCAGGAGTAACCCCTGTTACACATCCGGCATCACCGGGTGTGACCCAAAAAAGGGGGAAAAAAAGAGTAGAGGTGAGCAGAGCTTGTTAGTAATGACAGGTGTTTCTGTAGCACTGCAGCCTGTGTTTTATGAATTTCTTTACAGGATTATTTCCACGGGATTTATTCTTCATGTTAGATTACCTTCCTCTAGAGTCGTGTCTGCCATCTACATTTCTGTAGTTTATTTCCTTTGTTTCCCAGAATAGTGTTTTTCATGATTAGCATTTTCTTTGATATTTCAACTTTATGCTCATTCTCATTCCCTCCCTTTATTTAGAAAAGAAAATCAAGATTCTCTGGAGGGTTCTCTTTTTTTTCACACGCATCTTACCTAAGGCCTTAGTACTATCTTCCAGCAGCATTCAGACTTCGAAAATCCTTAAATATGAGTGTGACTCGTGCTTCCTAGTGCAGACAGATTTAAATCATAGTATTACTGCTCTAACAAGGGGCTGTAGCTCTTCCTTGTCCTTCTGGTGCATCTCTGGTCAGGGGAGGAAACAGTAGGGTTTGGCTCCCCGCCTCTCACAGGAAAGAAGCAGTTATCTGTCGGCATTGCCTATTAGGATTCTGCTTAAGGAGACAGGGCAGGACATAGCTCAGTGAACTGAGTGTAAGCTTTTTGTTTGTTTTTGTGCCAGCCTGAGCGATGCTCAGGGTTATTTCTAGCTCTGTACTCAGGAATTACTCCTGGCGGTGTTCAGGGGACCATATGGAATGCTGGGGGTTGAACCCAGATTGGCCACGTGCAAGGCAAGCACCTTTCCAGCTGGACTATTGCTCCAGCCTCTAATTTCAGGCTTTGCATGCAGGAAATCCAGGCTCTATCCCCAGCACCACACGGTCTCCTAAGCACCTCTGGGATGATCCCAAACAAAAATATCCAAGCAAACAAGAAGAAAGAAAATATTTAATTAAAAACTTCTTTTTCTTCATTTGCTCCTCAAAAATACATAATTCCTTATGAGATACAGACTCAGACAGGTGTGACCTAGACTCTTTATGTCTTTTCATCTTACCAGGTTAGTCTTTTATGTTTTTTTGATCCACCCCACAGTGCCAAGGGTACCCCTAGCTCAGTGCTACATGGTCTCTTTCAGTGGATCAAACTGAGGAGTTTTGCAAATGAAGCAAGAATCAGAGGGTCTAGCCCTCTGAGCCATCTCCTTCCTACCCCTTTAAACCTTGAAAAAAAGGGGGGGGATAGACCAAAGGGAAGGAAATAAATGTGACCAATGAAAATGTTGAGGTTCAAAAAAGGATTGAAGGTATTGAATAAAGGGATCAGATCTTTAAAACAAAGTCATGGCCAAATTTGAGTAAAGATCAAAGCCCTATGCAATGCATGTTTATTTTGGGAGGTGAGGTGTGGAGGGGTGAGAATTCCTTCCCTCCTTTCTTCCTTGTGTTGACAAGGATAACATAGGTTACCCCAGTATTATTGGAGGCTTCTGGGGCAACACCAATGATGATTTGGGGCCTCTTGGTCACACCTGGTTTGGTCTCCAGGGATACACCTGGCAGATGCTCAGTGGACTATCTGATGATGCGTATCCAACTGGACTTGGCAGCACGCAAGGCCTGTGCCTTAATCTCTCTGATGCTGAGAGCAGAGTTTTAAATGCCCTCTTACATTCTCTAGCTGTATGACCATGGACAGGTTAGTTTCTTCACAGTGGCAATGCCCAGGGTTTATTCCTCTTTCTGAGTTCATGAATCACTACAATGGATGCCAGAGATTGAACCAGGGTTGAACAAATACAAGGCAAGTACCTTACTCACTGTACCATTTCTCTGGCCCCAGCTTCAGTTTTCTTGTTTATAAAATGCAAATAATTCCTACCCCACCTAATCAAGATGAATGAAAATTAGCTGTTGGTACTTATAGATAATGGTTTACTTTTAGTCCTCTTGAATTGCTTAGAGTTAAGAAAAGCAGTAATCTTGTCCTCATAAAGGGAAAAATTTCTTCATATTTTCTGAATAAATATGTAGAATTCCTCCAATTTGTAATACCCGGTAGATATTAACCTAAGTTCTAGTTTTTGTTTTTCGGGTCACACCTCGTGGTGCTTAGGGCTTCCTTACTTCAAGTTCTGTTCTCAGTGATCACTGGTAGAGCTCAGGGGACCATACGAGGTGCCTGCGTTTTGAACCCAGGTTAACCACATGCAAAGCAAGCACCCTCTCTACTGTAGTATTTCTCCATCCCCTAAACTAAGTTCTGGAATTATCATAAAGATTCTTTGCTAGAAAGACATAAACAAATCCCATTTCAGAGCCAGGACTCTAGTTTAACGGCGGTTACATGTGCTTCCATTTCTCATTTAGCCTTTGATCACAATGGCCAGTGACCTTAGATGGGCATTTAGGTGAAGTCAAGGTCCTTTGTGTTCTCTGCTCAGACTCGTTTGAAGGGTCTGGCCTCATTTACCTTGCCTACCTGTCATTTTACTGTAATGGTTGGTCACCTCCACATCATTTGTCTTTTACCACCTCACCAACTTTTCTTTCCTTTTCCCTTTTGAATCAGTTCACACATATACAATGAGGCATCTCTGAATGTGTATCATAGTTACATTAGCCACTTCTGCCATGATGTTATCTCTCATCCCTGTTACAGTGCTTAGCCTTCTGCACGGCATTTCTCTCTCTCCTTGACTCTGTGCTCTGAGGAAGGGGATCATATCTTTAATGAACATTCCATTCCGTTATTTATCCATTGACCTCTTTGCAGTGTCTGTTATGTGTAATTACTGCACTGGGTGCTGGAGACACAATGGTAAGTAAAGTCTAAATAGGGAGCCAGACAAAAGCAGATGTTCATTAAACAGCTCTGATTGCATCTGTGCTGGGAGTTATGAATGAAAGGCATATGGTGCAATGAAGGGAGGGTAACTTGAGAGGTCAGGGAAGGCTTCCAAAAGTAAATGAAGTTGGAGCTGGTGGGGGGATTGAAACAGTCTCTCTGCTTCAAGCCCACAATATCTTCACTCTTCCTGCTCTGAGTGGCTGTCACAGGCTTGGAACAGTGAGCGAGAGCTGGAGAAAGATAAGAGAATCAGTTTTATCAACAAATTATTAAGGGTAGTTCCATTAAACCCACAACACGAAACTTCATAATTAGGACAAATTAATATTCACACAAAACAAGTAAGAAGTAATCTTCAGAGCTGGGGAAATAATTAAAGGGTTGGAGTCCATGCCTTATATGTTCAATTCCCAGAATTGAACGGTTCTGCCAGGCACTAAATCATCACACCTGCTTCACTCAGTGAGTACAACTTCTGAGCAAGCGGGGGAATATACCCAGTAAAAAAAAACTAAAGACTAAGTCCTTGGGCTATGTATGTAGCTCAGTGGTAAAGTACTCTTGAGCCCTGGGCTTGGACTCTCACACTGCAACAAATCAATGAATTCTCATTATGTTGTTTCATTTGTTAATATAAGTATATTTATCTTGATGGATATTTGCCAACACACAATTACTGTACCCTACTCTTATCTCCTAACTAACCTCATTTCCCCTCACACAGGTGTGTGTATGTGGGCCTCCCCCCCCCCCACACACACAGTTGGCTTCATAATAATCTAATATATTTAGGTCAACATTGAAGCAGTTTTAGGGACCACGGGCAGAGGAGAATACTTATATAGAACAATGATATGTTTTGGTAATTGTTATTTTTCTAGCTCATATGTGTCCAGAGCTCTCCTGGCTCTTCAATTTACAAAAGAAACAAATTTTGTTCCTATTCTGAAAGAGCTAGCTCCCTTGTTAGGGAGAAAAGAAATATGAATGACCCCTTGGGGAAGCCATTTCAGAGCTGGTATAATAGAGTGCCAAATAGTAGTGGTAGGGGGATAGAGAAGGGAGAAGGCATTAGAGAGGAAAAATTGGATCAAGTCACAGTAGTTAAATAGACAGCAGTAAGGGTCTGAAGCAATAGTACCACAAGTAAGACATTTGCCTTGCATGCTTCTGACCTGGGTTTGATTCCTGGTACTACATATGGTCTCCCAAGCCTGCCAGGAGTGATCCATGAGCATAGCCTGAGCAAAAATAAACAGACAAGCAAAAAACTCAGAAATGCAAAAAGAAAGACAAAGAAGACTGCAAGAAGTCAGTGGACTTGAGTCATGCCCTGAAAGCATTGTGTTAGGTAAGAAAAGAAAAGGGAACCACAATCTTGTAATATTTGTCTATTACAGTCTAAGCACTGCTCTAGCCCATGTCTTGTCTTCTTTTGGTCTTTCTGTAATCTTGCAAAGAAATCTCCACATCTGTTTTACAGGTGAGAAAATGGAAACTAGATTTATGTTAATGCTCTCAAATAAATGTCATACTTTTGGTTTGATTTTGGCCCCCCAAAAGTGATGCTTGCCACAATTTCTGGCTTTGTGCATGGGGTTTGCTTCTGGTCATGCTCAGAAGCCGGGCAGTGCTGAGAATAGAAGCCAGGTTACCCAACATGCTCTGAATGTGCTCAGCCTGTTGATCTGTCTCTCTGGCCTCTGTAATATTTTGCAATAGCAAATATTATCTGTGTTATAAAATAAGATTAGTATTGCACAGTTCTTTAATCCCTTTCCATTCTCACATGTTGTTTTTTAGGATAGTAGACCTAATTAATCATGATTGAAGATAATAAGGAAAACAAAGACCATTCCTTAGAAAAGGGAAGAGCGACTCTCATTTTTTCTTTAAAGAATGAAGTTGGAGGACTTATAAAAGCCCTGAAAATTTTCCAGGTGAGCACAATCCATGCTTCTACATATAACTCTTCAAAAATTTATAATAATAAAAATATATTATAAAATAATAATACATAGCTTTTTTTAGAAAAAGCTATACTTAGACAATAAATTATAAATCCATCACAGATGAACTACAGAAATTTGTTAAGAAATTAAACTTCTATTTTATTATTGCTTTTTAAATTTAAATAGAAAAAAGTGGTAACTATTGATACAATTCTAGGATTAAAACTGATTAGATAACAACATTGCAATATTAATATCAATAGATCTATATCACTCTATCACTGTCATTCGTTGTTCGAGGATTTACTCGAGCAGGGTGCCAGTAACGTCTCTATTCCTCCCAGCCCTGAGATTTTAGCAGCCTCTCCTTATTTGTCTTTCCCAACAATTGGAGGCTCTTTCAGAGTCAGGGGAATGAGACCTGTTACAATAGATCTAGAAAATAAATTTATGTGAACATTGTGATATCTCATTGCATGGTCGGTAAGACCTTGTCTAAGTATTTATTAAGCATTTTGTTGCTTCACAGCTGCAGAGGTCCATACATTTCCAGACCTATGGTCTGGGCCAAAGAGTCAACAAGAAGACAGACCTGGGTGGTGCGTGGTGGGTGGGACTGCTGGGGCTTTCAGAAGTATGAGGGGTTGGGGAGAGGCTGCCCACCCAGACTCCAGAAACAAACAAACAAATGAACAGCAAAACACCCAGAGTTCTCAGCGTGCGCTGCAGTACCTGAAATTATTCAGAACTTGGTGTCTCTGAAGAGAATATTTGTGAGGTGGTGGAGTTGAGCCCTTGGTATAGCTGCAGTGGTGGGGATAAGAACTTGTATTTTTAAAAGATTGCTTGATTGTAAGAGATGAGCAGAGATACAAATGGTTTATAGCTACCAAGAGTATCTCGCCCGCACGGCAGAGCCTGGCAAGCTACCCGTGACGCATTCGATATGCCAAACACAGTAACAAGTCTCATGATGGAGACGTTACTGGGCCTGCTCGAGCAAATCGATGAACAATGGAAAGACCGTGATGATGATGATGAAACAAAGAAATGGGGGAGGAAAGATGCACTTTCTTGATTTCAGAGAAGTAGATTTTCATTAAATGAAATATTAACATGTAAAGGGTTAATAATATTGTGAATGATTTTTATTTTTTGTTTGAGAACCACACCTCATTCTGTACTTGGGGGGTCATTCCTGGTGATGCAATACCGGGGATGAAATCTTCTGCCCCATGTTGAAATATCTCTCCAGCCCAGCTAATGATGTTTAATATTGAAAAATAGCAAAAGTTTTACAATTATACTGTTCCCTGTAAGTTTCAAAGTTTCAGTGCATTTGGCATTCAGGTATACTGGTATATAAGGTGAAGAGAAACATTCTTACTGCATCCAAGGCAAGCACCCTACCTGCTGTACAATCTTCCCAACCCTAGATTTGCCTTTTTGAAAATTTTGGAGCCGACTCGGGTTCTATTCCCAGCATCCCATATGGTCTCCTGAGCACCGCCAGGGGTAATTCCTAAGTACAGAGCCAGGAGTAACCCCTGTGCATCGCCAGGTGTGACCCAAAAAGAAAAAAAAATAATTTGGGGGGCCACACCTCGCGGTGCTCAGGGCTCACTCCTGTCTCTGTGTTCAGGGATCACTCCTGGGGAGCTCAGGGGACCATATGGGTACCTGGGATAAATTTGCATCAGCCCCATGCAAGGAATGACCTACGCACTGTACTATCTCTTCAGATTCTGATTTGTGTTTCTTAATACAACTCTATAGTGATCTGCTCAACTTGGCTTCCCAATATCATTCTCTCTCATTATAATTAAGTATCCCAGTTTGGGGTTGTGAAATATTAATTTTTTTCAGTATTAGAATTACATAAGTGTTGCTCAGAGAAGAGTTACTTATGCAGTATGCTGATTAGTCCTTTCATTTCTTTTTTTTCTTTTTGGGTCACACCCAATGATGCCAGGGGTTACTCCTGGATTTGCCCTCAGGAATTACTCCTGGCGGTGCTGGGGGACCATATGGGATGCTGGGAATTGAACCTGGGTCGGCTGTGTGCAAGGCAAGTGCCCTCTCCGCTGTGCTATCGCTCCAGCCCCTAGTCCTTTCTTTTACAATCTAGTATTTAAGACCATGAATTATGAAACCTGATGGTCTCTGGATTCCAGCCTTGTGCCTAACCTCTGTTGTGCTTCCCTGTCTGTAATGGAAACGCCTGATAGGATATCTTACTTAGTATTCTTGCTTTACTGAATTTTCCTGGGTTATCTAGACTAAATTTTTCTGCCAGATGAATTTTAAATCCTTTCATTGTATTCCTCTAGATTTAAAAAAAAAACTATTTGGTTAGCTTTCTCTTGAAATTCCATGGAGGTTTTGATTTTAGGAGCATTTAATTTGTAGATTGATTCAGGAAGAAATAGACATTATATTTTTTCTCCAAAACTAGTGTATAGCTTTTATGTTTATTCAGGTTATACTTTAGAAGGGATTTATTAATTATTATTATAGGGCTGGAGCAATAGCACAGCAGGTAGGGTGTTTACCTTTTACGTGGCTGATTTGATTCCTCCATCCCTCTTGGAGAGCCTGGCAAGCTGCCGAGAGTTTCCTGCCCTCATGGCAGAGCCTGGCAAGTTACCCGTGGCGTATTCAATATGCGAAAAACAGTAACAACGAGTCTCACAATGGAGACATTACTGATGCCCACTCAAGCAAATTGATGAAAAACAGGACTACAGTGTTACAGTGCTATTATTATTGTAAATATTCATAAAAATTATACCAGTGAAACTCTACTCCTGACCAATTCCAGTGTATCGTATAACTGGCTTTCCTCTAGTGATCTGATGATAAATTTGTATTATAGGATAAAGTCTGCCTTTTTCAATTTCCCAACATCCCTGAAATTGTCCTGCCTTGTTGGATTATATTCCTGATAATTCTTGACTCACTCTTACCTTTACTTACACAATTCCTATATTTACAATTTTTCTCCTTCCGTTCTGCCTTCCTGTTCTGTTGATTCTTCAAGACTCATTTCAGTTCATCTGCTTTATGAACCTTCTGTCACTGTCACTGTCATCCCATTGTTCATCAATATGCTCGAGCAGGCTCCAGTAATGTCTCCATTCGTCCCTGTCGCATGTTAGTGTAGCCCGATGGCGTACTGGGGGCTCTCTCAGGGTCAGGGTAATGAGGACCATCATTGTTACTGTTTTTTGGCATATTGAGTATGCCATGGATAGCTTGCCAGACTCTGCCATGCGGGCGGGATACTCATGCTTGCCGGGCTCTCCGAGAGGGACGGAGGCATCGCTCTCCTCCGGGAGCTTTGTTTTATAGTCTCTGGATCTTGGCTGTTGATGAGGGCAGTTTGTGGGTGTGACTGCCAAGCTACTGGAAAACTGGGGATCTGGGTAGAGGAGGCCCAGTCCCGATCTGAGCATTCTTGGAGTTCTCAGCCACGGGTCCCACATACCTGAGTTCCTCTGTCGGTTCCTTCATGGGTGAGGCTCTTCCGACCATGGAGAGTGGCCTTGAGCATGACTGTGGTTGGGTTCTGGAAGTTTTTGGCTGCTGGGGCTCTGCTTGGGGCGGGGAGGGAAACTGAAACTGACCCCCTCTGGGGGGCCCCGGTGAAGACAGCCCGGTGAAGGGGCAGGAGATTCTGCCTGTTATATGTATGAACCTCCTACATTCTTTAATATGAAAAGATGCTTTCACCCCTTGCAGATCATATTCAGCTCTTAAACATACACCACTTGTATTTTCTCCTAGTCTGTCAAGTCTTAACTGACTAGATTGCAAATGTATCTTAGCCTGCTTTGTATTCTTCACAACTCTTACTAGGCTAGGCAGGTGTTCACCGTATTAATTTAGATTGAGCTGATGAATAGTGGAGATCATCTTCTCTAAGCTTATCTGATGAAAACGCTATTGGGTGCTTGATTCTTTTTTGGGGTGGGTCACATCCAGCGATGCTCAGGGGTTACTCCTGGCTCTGTACTCAGGAATTACTTCCTTTGGTGCATGGGGGACCAGATGGGATCCTGGGGATTGAACCCAGGTCGGCCACATGCAAGGCAAACGTCCTACCCTCTGGACTATTGCTCTGGCCCGGGGTGCTTGGTTTTTATGTTTCGTTATTATGCTGACAGTGCTGTTCCTTGGCTGTCCCCATTGGGAAGAGAAGAAACCCTTCTCCTGCAGGTCTTCATCCCTGGGACCCATAGCTTAGGCTTTGCATGAGGAGAGTTCAGAAGCAGCAGTTTGCTTTAGCTGGTCACTAAACTTGCAGTTTGAGAGCTTTGAGGTTATTAAATAGTGTTTGAGATGTTCATCAAATATTATCGAGCACATTTTGCAATGGAAACTTATTTCTAAAGGATTAACATTAATGGCTTGCTCCTCCAGCCCATGTTCTCCCTTTAACAGATATCTCAATTGCTTGTCTATATAACTTTGCTTATTTCCACTCTAGAGAAGCTTGTGTTTTTTCTCAAACATGTACTTCTCCCTGACTCTCCCCTCCTATCTTTCTAGACAAGTTTCATTAAAAAATCTCTTGCGTTACCAAAATAAAAAAATAAAAAGAGAAAGAAAAAAAGGGATTAACATTGATTAACTGTTTGAAAGTGGGCTTTCCTTTGTGACAATTTTCCAAAGATTCTTTCATCTAGTATAGATGGTATTTTGATCTGAAGGTTCATCATTTCTGACAGTCCAAGGAACTTCTAGCGGGTATTCATTTTTGGTGGGTATAGTGAATTTTTAAAAGCTTTCTTGTGGGGCCAGTTGCTAGTACAGTGGGTCGGGCACTTAACTTGGCATGTGGCCAACCTGGGTCCAATCCCTCACACTCCATATGGTCCCCTTAGTATTACCAGGAATGATCCCTGAGCACAAAGCCAAGAGTAAGCTCTGAACATAGTCAGGTGTGTCCTCCCCCCACCCCCCAGAATAAAATTTTGTGAGTTGTGCTTAAAATTTAAGGTATAAACTTTGCTGTTAGTTGTAATGAAAGCAGTTTCATTCCCTTTTGGTTACTTCAACAGATGTAAAATTGATTGTAGTGATGGTAAAAGTAATTTAGTTGAAGACTTTTGCCATTTGAGTCAATCCTATGGTAAAAATACTACAATAATTTTAAAAGTCTGTACCCTCCATTTACATAGGAGAAGCATGTAAATCTGCTACATATCGAGTCCCGAAAATCAAAGAGAAGAAACTCAGAATTTGAGATATTTGTTGACTGTGATATCAACAGAGAACAATTGAATGATGTTTTTCATCTCCTGAAGTCTCATACTAATGTAATTTCTGTGAATCCACCAGAAAATTTTATAGCAAAGGAAGATGGTAAGTTTGGAAAAAAAGAACTTCATTTTATAAGATTAAATGCATTATGAGTGTTCATAGTATATTTATCTTGAAGGCACTAAAGTAAATATAAAACACTGTCTTTTCAAATTGCATACAGTCTGTTGAGAAGGGAGCACAGAATAGTTACTCAAAGTATTACAGGAAAAATTACAAAGCAATAGTTAGTCATGTGTGAGAGAAAAGAAAGTCTTCAGTATCAGAAAGATTCAGAATAGGTATGTCAATTAAATTATTGCTATTTTCAAGTCATCAGACATTTCTTGATTGCACAAATGTCTGGCACACAATAAATGAACACTTATTAGCTCCCATAGTGCATGGTGTCTTGCGGCTATTAAATTGAACATTTGAATTTGTTGAAAATGTTGCAGTTGTGGACATCTATGATTTGAAAGTTATAATATACAATATTCCCCCATACCCAGTTCCCACCAAAAGCTAATAAAAAAAACACTAAAGCCTACTAATGTTTCAGAAAATCAAATAGTGAAGATATAAACTTCTTTTTATTTTGGGAGGATGCACCTAGTGGTGCTTAGGATTTACTTCACGCTCTGTGCTTGGGGGTCATTCTTGGTAGCACTCAGATTACCATGCAAAGCTAAGTCTCTTGCATGCAAAGCATGCCTGTATAAATTTTGCCTCCATGTAAAGCTAATATTAGAAATCTCATCCAAATACATTTTGGGTTTTCTTTACTTTCTTCTGTTTTATTTGTTTATTTATTTATTTGGGGGGTTCGCACGGCTATGCTCAGGGGTTACTCCTGGCTTGCACTCAGGAATTACTCCTGGCAGTGCTCAGGGGACCGTATGGGATGCCAGGGGGATCGAGCGCAGGTAGGCCGCATGTAAGGCAAATGCCCTACCAGTTGTACTATCTCTCCGATCTCATGTTTGCTTTATTTAAGATGATCATTTCACCTGTAGTTGTTTTTGTATTTTTCAGATATGGAAACAGTTCCCTGGTTTCCAAAGAAGATTTCTGACCTGGATCTTTGTGCCAACAGAGTTCTCATGTATGGATCTGAACTAGATGCGGATCATCCTGTAAATATTTTAAATTAATATTTTCACAAAATAACATTAAAAAATTAAGGACAGCTTTTTCCATTGAAAGGACAATGGGCAGAGAGGGGGAGATGTACTTACCATAGACTCTGGAGAATTTGGTTTTAATCTGGATTTCCGTACATGATAGGAAACCTATACACAGGTTGAACTAAAATCAGTGCCTGAGGAACATCTAACTTCATTGGGTCCAAAACCTCTGTCTGGCATGGTGACTGCCTTTCCTCTTATTGACAGTTATTCCAGAGCTACAGTAAAATGAAGTCAGTGTCTGCAGACAGACTTTATTAAAATGACATGGAGTAATGGAAAGGGGAAGAGAGGCAGGAAGGTAAAAGACTAATCTGTCAGCTGAGAAACCAGAAAGTTGTTTCCTGAGAAAAATATGTGTGATGTAATTTGTAAAGGCATAACTTGGAGAACTGCTAAATTCAGAACAATATATAGATTAGGGAACCCTAGAATCTGGGAGGGGAGGAAAGGAAAGAGTCAATTGTGGAGTCACATGGATCAGGAATAAAATATCCTTTTAAATATCCACTTACTTACCATATGAATATGACTGTTCACTGTCTTAGACAGCTGCTAGACAGTCCATCCCCTTATACTATACCTTCAGTGTGTAACATTAAGATCAGTAAATTGCACTTTCTGTCCTCAAGAGGATTACAGTCTCATTAAAAAGATAGATCTCACATATACAAAGAAGTACACACAAGATAAAATGTGAAAAGTGTGCTAAGTGGCATGAGCAAGTAACACTGAGAACCCCAGCCTTCTAGCTGAAGCAATTAGAAAAGGTCAGCATTATAACTAGGTGTTACCAGATGAAGAGGAGTGAGATGGGGAGGAAGGACCATTTATTGTCCAGAGCCAAAAAAAAACCTGGGGGATATTTATGAAATTAGGCATAAGTTTTGCTGATAGGCACCATGGTCCTGCTGATTTTCACCTCTCATTTTTTTTCAATTTGCTTCTTGTTCATCCCTATACCCATATTCAATTTGGGAGCCATCAGGGCCTTTTTTGTGGGGCTTTGGGGCTCCAACCTGGGAACTTGCATGTGTTAAGCATGTGCTCTATCTCCTGAGTCATGTCCCCAGGCCAAATGTTGTTTTTCATATTACTCCAAATTTTTATTTATTTATTTAGGTTTTGGGGTAGCACCCAGCAATGTTCAGGGCTGACTATTGAACTGCACTCAGGGATGACCACTGGTAGGGCTTGGGGTACCATATGGGGTCCTAGGGATCAAAACCAGGTCCACTGTATGCAAGGCAAGCACCCTACCTAAGGTACTATCTCTCCAGCCCCAACTTCTTTAGTTTTTTATGACTGCTGTACTTTCTTTGCAACAATTATATCTTTTATCTTTGTATTTATCATAGTATAAAGCTGTCATAGGTCATTGGCTTTCAATTTAAAACGATAGCAACTTAAATATACTTATTCATAGAAGCAATTATGTAATCTTTTAGTATAATAACCCAAACAATTGTGAAATGTTTCCTAAGTACTGTTTGCCATGTGTTTTTTAGTATGAATATTAAAAATTTTGTCTCCAATGATTAGGGCTTCAAAGACAATGTCTACCGTAAGAGACGAAAATATTTTGCAGACTTGGCCATGAATTATAAACAGTAAGTAGATTAGAAATGCAACGATTACAATTTTTTACTAACGAAATTCATGATTTTTTATGCTCATTTAGTTAAAACGAGAACAAGTGTTACTGTTCATTGAATACGAATCCAAAATAATTTCTTCCTTTATTCCTTTAGTGGAGAACCTATTCCTAAGATTGAGTTCACTGAGGAGGAGATTAGGACCTGGGGCACTGTGTTTCGAGAGCTCCTCAAGCTCTACCCAACCCACGCCTGCAGAGAATATCTCAAAAACTTGCCTTTGCTTTCAAAATACTGTGGGTATCGGGAAGATAACATCCCACAATTGGAAGATGTCTCAAACTTTTTAAAAGGTAATTAGCGGATTAAATTTTTGTATAGGGAATGTTAAATTCTGTTTTGAATTGCTCTTTTTAGGGGAGAACACTCGTTGGTACCATGTGGTACTAGAGATCAAACCCAGAACTCCAGTGTGCAAAGTGCACACTCCAGCCTTTTGAGCTCAAAAAAAAAAAAAAAAAACTCTTACTGACTCCGATTTTACCAGAATTCTTTTTTTTTTTTACAACTTTATTTTAGCACAGCTTTATTTTAGCATTTGCCTTGCACATGGCTGACCCAGGTTCAATTCCCAGCATCCCATATGGTTCTCTGAGCACAGCTAGGATTAATTACTGAGCGCAGAGCCAGGAGTAACTCCTGTGTATCACCAGGTGTGACCTCCACCCCCCAAAATTATTTAACACTGTGGTTACAAAATTGTTCATAATACAGTTTCTGGCATTCAATGTTCCAACACCAATTCACATAAGAAACAGTTAGTGGAAAATCAGAATGTAAAGGAAGAGAGAGGAGGGGAGAGGAGAGGGGAAGGCAAGGGAAAAAGAAAGGAAAGACCTAGAATTTATCCCCAATACTGCATATGGTTCCCTGAGCCCCACCGGGAATGACTCAGAGCACAGAGCTAGGAGCAAGCCTGGAGTACTGCTGTGATCCCTCCACAATACCTTGCCCACCCCCCGCATGTGTTGTAGAAAATGATTTATGCTGGAGAAGATTTAATTGTGTTTTCTCCTTGACTTTGCAGAGCGCACAGGTTTTTCCATTCGTCCCGTGGCTGGTTACTTATCACCAAGAGATTTCTTATCAGGTTTAGCCTTTCGAGTTTTTCACTGCACACAGTATGTGAGACACAGCTCAGATCCCCTCTATACCCCAGAGCCGTAAGTACTTTTACTTGGTATTCATCAAATATTTCTTGTAATGGTACCTAATTCATAGATTGTGTGTGTGTGTTTGTGTGTGTGTGTGTGTGTGTGTGTGTGTGTGTGTAAGAAATGACTTTAACTGTGTAAAGCATTTAGAACAGTGCCTGGTACACAATACATGCTCTGAGCTCTATGTTGATTGCTATTATTATTACTGTTATTAATTGACATTTAACCTGTTCTGTGCCAGGTGCTGTCCTAAGCAACTCTGAAAGAAATCAGACAAAATGATGCCATTCTAGAGCATATTGGGCCTTAGTTTGATTATCTAATAAGGACATAGTTTTATAGTTTATTTATAGTTTTATTTATTTATTTATTTATTTATTTATTGCTTTTTGGGTCACACCTGGCGATGCACAGGGGTTACTCCTGGCTCTGCACTCAGGAATTACTCCTGGCGGTGCTCAGGGGACCATATGGGCTGCTGGGAATCGAACCTGGGTTGGCCGCGTGCAAGGCAAACGCCCTACCCGCTATCTCTCCAGCCCCAGGACATAGTTTTATTATCACAAGTAAATATATGTATTATGTCAGATGGTGATGGGTACTGTTGAGAAAAAGTGGAAAGAGAATAGAGGTGTGTGTGTGTGTGTGTGTGTGTGTGTGTGTGTGTGTGTGTTTTATTTCCGTAAAGGATTAGCTAGAAAACTGACATTTGAAGAAAACTGATTGGGGGGGCAGGCAGGCAGGGAAAATATAGATGTCCTTGTGTAGTTGGGAGTGACCAAGGCTTTGAAATATATATATATATATATATATATATATATATATATATATATATATGCACTTTGTATTTCTCTTCCAAAATAACATAATCCATTTGATTTGAATAAAGATCAGATTTTTATGTGCTTGATATTTATGCACTTATATTAAGAGTCAGAAGTTGATAAACTTGTGCCTCTTTTTCAGAGATACCTGCCATGAACTCTTAGGTCACGTTCCCCTTCTGGCTGAACCCAGCTTTGCTCAGTTCTCCCAGGAAATTGGCTTGGCTTCCCTGGGCGCTTCGGAGGAGGCAATTCAAAAGCTGGCAACGGTATAAGTCTGGAAACAGCTATATAGATCAGTAATTCTTAATTGGGGTGGTGTTTGATTAATTTAAAGGAGACTGTTCATGTTGACCATTAGAACATTTGCCTTTGCCCATAGTGCTTTATTTAATTTGAATAATTTAAATGACTTCAGAGAAAAAACTTGAGGTTTGTGCAGAGAACACACAAGCTTTAAAAACATTGAAACAGGGGCCAGAGTGGTACTACAGTGGATAGGGCATATGACTTGCACGTGGCTGACGCGGATTTGATTCCCAGCATGTCATATGGTCCCCTGAGCCTGCCAGGACTGATCCCTGAGCACAGCCAGTTTGTCCACCAAAACAAAAGAAACCTAAAAACCAAAAACAGAAACTCAGATTGAGATAGTTAAGGGGGTAGCTTGGGAATAGAGCATACGCCATCCACATGTGGGGTCCTGTGTTTGATCCCCATCACCACACACACACAAAAGTTGAGAAATATTGGAGTACTATAAGTGGTTTGTGTATCTTCCATTTTTCTGTTAAAATAATAGAGTCCTGGGGCTAAAGGGATAATACAGTGGGTGGGTTATTTGCTTTGCCAGCAGCCAACCTAGTTTTTTCCCACAACACTCCATATGGTCCCTGAGCACCTCGAGGAGTGATCCCTGAGCACAGAGCCAGGAATAAGCCCTAACAACCTCTTAGTGTGGTTCCAAAACCATTATCATAAACACATCCTTAAAATGCTGCTGAAAGTATTTTTGAACACTGGGTACAAGACACCGTGCTGAAAATGCAGACAAGTAAGTCCTTATTCCTAAGTTTTTTGTTTTCCCATTTTGTTTTTGAGCCACACCTGGCAGTGCTCAGGGCTTACTCCTGGCTCTGTGCTTAGGGATCACTCCTGGCAGGGCTTGGGTGACTATATGGGGTTCTAGGGATTGAACTCAAGCCAATTGTGTGCAAGGAGTGCACCCTACCCACTGTACTATCTCTTTGGCCCTGATTCCTGCCTTTTAGAAGCTTACATTCTACTTGAGGAGACAGATGTTAGAATGAGATCAAGCTTCTTCCTCTACAGAGACCAGTGGAGAGTGTACCCGGCAGAGGAGTCTGTGTACTAGCCTAGGAAGGAAGAATGACATTTTCACATGCCAAGGAAGGAGGGAGGTGGTACACAGAAAAGATAAAAACATTCTTGGTGTGCCTGGGGAATGCAAAGAAACTAGAGCAAAATGGAGTGGGGAGGAAGGGTGAAATAGGCTAAATGCTGAGAGTGAAGCTTATCAATTTTTTGGGGGGGTCCCTGAGACCCTTTCCTGGAATCCTTGAGAACAAAATGAGTTTGTGTAGGTCAGATGTCCAAAATGCAAAGTGGATTTAGTGTAAGAGACATCATTCATTGATAGAGTTTCAGATTACACATTATAGCTCAACTTTAAGAAACTGTCACTCATTGTTTTATATATAATATTTAAAAAATCCGGTTATTCCTAAAAGCTAGTAAGCAAGTAGTTAGAGGTCTCCTTTAGCTACTTATCTTTTTGCATTTGCTTTAATGAAAACACTTTGTATGCAACAGGTTAATACAGAAGCAGATCAGAGAATGTCTTTCTCAGCCAAGCACTGAATATTGTCTAGCTAGACATTAAGATTTACAACCGTGTGAAACAATGTTACTTTTCTCAACTTTTGCTTGTTTTATGCAATGTAGCTACTTTCCATTAAAATGTTACTTATGAGCCATAAAGTAGTTGCATTTTAAAATTTGTTAATCAATGTTTCATTTTTTCTTCACCATTAATTTTGGATTTTGTTGTTCTTTTCTTTTCTTTTTTGCACCCACACCCAGTGTTGATTAGGGTTTACTCCTGGCTCTGCACTCAGGGATCACTTTTGGCTGGGTTCTGGGGACCACAATGGGTGCTGAGGATTGAAGCTAGGTTACTGAGTGCAAAGCAAGTGCCCTATCCACTGTACTCCAGCCTCAATGTGTTGTTAATTTTAATATTGTAAATATAACTAGGTATAACCCACATAAATAAAAGATCACTTGGGTCCTCAATGAATTTTTAGGGTGTATGAGAGTCCTGAGAACAGAAGTTTGCTCAGAGCTGGTTCGGAGCAAGGCTAGTCTGTGAGCTAGTTTGGGGGGTCTTGGATTTTATGTCAGGATACTTTGGGTTGGTGACAAAGAGTCTCAAATTTGATCTTTCATTATGTGGAAGTAACATTGATGTGCTTTTGCAGTGCTATTTTTTCACCGTGGAGTTTGGACTATGTAAACAAGATGGGCAACTAAGAGTCTTTGGTGCTGGCTTACTTTCTTCTATCAGTGAACTCAAAGTAAGTGTTGTGTTTGCCAGGCTAGATGTCTGATAGCCATGTTAACTTAATATAATTGATGAGATGGGACATTTTTGTTATTTTTTAGCTTTTGGGCCAAGTATTTGGTTGTGCTCAGGACTTATTCCTAGTTCTGTGCTCAGGGATCACTCCTGGTGAGGCTTGAGGGAACAAACCTGGTTAGGCTGCAAGGCAAACTCCCTACCTGCTACATTATCTCTAGCCTGGAGACATTGTTCTGTTATTGGAGCAAGAGTGAAAAATACTTGGGATGGAATTAAACATTACTTAAGGGACAGTTTTCTTTATTTCCCAAGTACCCATATTTATCACTGCAGCATATCTTTTAGAGAAGAGTGTTTTAAAGCTTTTATATATGAAGTTTTGTTATTTCCCTTTGGTATATTAGCAATAAATTCTAGAGCATTAAATGAGTTTTTTTTTTGCGTTTTTGGGTCACACCCAACGATGCACAGGAGTTACTCCTGGTCCATGCACTCAGGAATCTCTCCTGGTGGTGCTCGGGGGACCGTATGGGATGCTGGGAATCGAAACTGGGTCTGCCTCATGCAAGGCAAATGCCCTACCTGTTGTGCTATTGCTCCAGCTGAGATTTTTTAATTTATGTAATAATGGAAAGAATTTAGGTTTGTGAAACATCATACAAGGCAGTGTCTTGCTCTCAGTGAACCTACCACTTAGTAGTAGGTATAAGTCATGAATGGTTGGTATAATATATAATTCCACTGAATAAAATTAACTAGTAGAGGGTCATGCTATAATGAGGGGAGAATTATGGGTCCTTAGTGCCTCCTTCATGGAGAAGAGTTATAGAGGCAAAGCCTGGAGATGATCTTGGGGAGCATTTATGGAGAATACAAATTGTATTGTTCCCTTTTGCTTAATTGAAATATGAGTTAAGTAGAGGTATGGGTAATGAATTTGGAATTGCTGGTATTAGTCATAAATTTATGTAAGTAATAAATGTGCTGTCCTGGCCATTGTGTGTAGACATTAACCTATAGCAGTCAGTGATATTATGTAATTCACTGACTCTTTGTTCTTTAGCATGCACTTTCTGGACATGTCAAAGTCAAGCCCTTTGATCCTAAGATTACCTGCAAACAGGAGTGTCTCATCACCACTTTTCAGGATGTCTATTTTGTATCTGAAAGCTTTGAAGATGCCAAGGACAAGATGAGGTAAAATATATCTTCCTGGTGCTTCAATTTCCTCTGCAAAAGGTAGATTCAGTAACAGTCACAATTACAGAAGTAAGAAGCTAGATAATTAGAAGACTATGAGTCACCTTTTGCCTGTAATAATCAGTATTTAGAGTATGCTTTTAATAATCATGTTTAGCCATTGTAGATATGACTCAGCTATATTGAGATATTGGTTTGTTCCCATTTTTTCCATCAAAATTTAAAAGAAAAGAGACTATAATAATAAAACATTCCTCTGTGTTTTATTTAGGAGTATCTTATTCCAGGTGGGGGAAATCATTAAATAACTCAAAGGACAGAAATGATATAGATTTGTTAATTCTTAGGTTAAGGGTCAGTATTAAAAAAGGTGAGGAGGTGATGAAATACAGGAAATATGTGTAACACAATTAATCAGCTAAGTGTGTTAAGGAAGGATGTTGAAGGGCCTTAGAGTTAGCACCAAAGGCTCATATACACATTTTGCTTTGCATGTTTAATTTTAGTTATTTATATTTTGGGAAGTTTGGGTGACACCCAGTGATCTCAGGGCTTACTACTGACCTTACACTTAGGGATTATTCCTGGGGGTACTCGGGGCACCATATAGAGTGCTGAGGATCTGCAGTATGCAAGGCAAGTGTCTTTCCATTCTATCTCTCCAGCCCTGATCTGGGTTTGATCGCTGGCATTGTATTGTTCCCTGAGCATTTCCAGGAGTATCCCTGGATACCAAGTCAGGAGTAGGCTCTGAACACTGAAAAGTGTGCACCCAAACTAAAGCAATAAAAAAATATAGGAAAATATATGGAAGGTAGAGAAAATAAAAGTGAAATGAGAGATGTAGTAGAAAAGGAAAGCCCTCTGGAAGTAGAATCACAAAATAAACGGTCTGATGACATCATATTGTGATGATGGTGATAGAGACTTAGTGTTAAAGGGCACACTCCTCATCTTCCAGGAATTTAATTGCTATATTAATTGGGGAATTAGAACTTGCATATAACCAAAGAATAATCACACCTGTAAGAATCCCTCTAGCGTATATGGTATCTTTGTGCAGATAGGAATAAGGGATTTCTTCTAGATGGATAGCCAGTTGGATTTTAAATCCCTACTCATGTACAGTTTTCTTCAGTTATGACTTTGGGGGGTCCTGAACACAGCTGTTCTTGGGGAGCCAAGTCAAAGATTCAAATGTTGACTTTAAAAGAGAAAACAGAACTCTTTTTACTTGCAGAAAGGGTATGATTTAATTCATTTAAAGGCAGCCTAGAGAAAGACATATTCTGTCTGTTTGTCTGTCTTTCTCTCACCTCTTATATTTTTGAATCACATCTGGCAGTGTGATCCCTGGCTCTGTGTTCAGGGATCACTTCTGGAGGGGTTTAGGGAGCCGTATGTGGTGCTGGGGATCAAACCACGGTTGACTGCATGCAAGGCAAGCACCTTACCTTATGTAATATGTATCCTGACCAGGAAAATATTCTTCACAGGGAAAATGTACATGTGAAGGAGGAAGGGAGGTGGTAAAATTATTGAGGGGTCTGCTACTATGTGATAGCATGTTATTGTTTACTTAAAGTTATTGTGGTTGGTCTCCTTAAATGTAGTCAGAGATGAAGAAAATAATAAGTGGTTAATAAAAGTGACTACAGGATATTTCCCTAGTAATCAGGGGGTAGATGTGTCTGTGTACTTTAAAATTTCCGCACGTTCAGGAAGTAGGTCAGTTTGGTAGCACCAACATGTCTTTGGCCTCATGTGTAGGATAGATTTGCTGCTCTTTATTACTTTTCACCCTTCTCAGAAATTGATGGCCTCTTATTTGTTGTCTTAAATAGAGAATTCACCAAAACTATTAAACGTCCATTTGGAGTGAAGTATAATCCATATACACAGAGTGTTCAGATCTTGAAAGACACCAAGAGTATAACCAGTGCCATGAATGAGCTGCGGCACGACCTTGATGTGGTCAGTGATGCTCTTGCCAAGGTCAACAGACAGATGAGCATCTGACAGTTGCCACTCCTCATCCTGAAAGGACCTGAGCATCAATCCAGGAGCCTCTGGGATGACTCGTGCTTTCCTGAAGACCTGGTGGTGAAGGGACAGTGGATGAACAATGTTTCCCCTTCCCACTGGTGTTTGAAAATTTCTACTAGATACTTTTTGACATTTTTGGGGGGTAACAAATTTAGAAAAATATAATTTATACAACATAAAATTTTTGGTTACCATTTTTTAAAAGTAGAGAAGCTTGACTCAATAGATGGATGATTTCACTTGGATTTTAATTCTTCTGGACCTCAAAAAAAAGATATGTAATTTTTAAAATTTGATTTTATGTTATGCAAGGAAATAGAACAGGAGGGGTAATTTATGCTATTTCAGAATTTTAATTACATATTTTCATAGCTAATCAACTATTAAATATATACTTGATAGTTAATAGAGCTAAGTCTGCTAATCCAAAATATTCTGAAATACTGATCAACTAGTTTTTAGGTAGTATATTTGGTTGCAAAGAAATTTGTTGTCAACAAACTATGATACATAGTAGATAAAAGTAAATTATTAATGCTGTATCTGTTTATTTTCATCAGTTTTGAACATGATGAAGAATCAGTACTGAACTTTAAAATGATGGTACTGGGACCAGGGTGATAGTACAGTAGTTAGGGCATTTGTCTTGCAAGCACCCAGGTTTGATAACCAGAATCCCATATGGTCCCTTGAGCACAGCCAGAAGTAATTCCTGAGTGCAGAGTCAAGAGTAATAAACCCTGTGCATTGTGGTGTGGTCCCCTCAAAACCTAAATAAATAAATAAATTAATTAATTAAAAAATGATGGTATTCAAATATCACTCACTGATTCACTGACTAAAGCACACTAATATAAAAGTTAATGGCATAATCATTCTAATAACTTCATAATAATGAAAATAATTATTCAGTTTAGTTCTCTCTTCCAAAATCTGGATTTGTAATGTTTGGTAAGTTAAGAATTGTAGAATCTTAGCATATTCATTTATTTTAATATATTTAAAACATGTATCTTCAAAGCACCAAGGTATATCTTCACAATTATCAAAATATGAGAACAAACTTGTACCAAAGTTTGTTTTATTATTCTTGAAAAAGTTTGCCCACACCTGGTGTTGCTCAGGGCTTACTCCTGGCTCTGTGTTCAGGGATTACTCCAAGCAGGGGTCTGGGATTATATGAAGTGCTGGGGATCACAACAGCTTGGTCCAAGACAAGTGCCTTACCCACTGCACTGTCCAGCCTTTAAACATTTGTTTTTTTTGTTTTGCTTTGGGGCCATACCTTTCAGTATTCAGGGAACCATGAAATGCAGAGCATCAGCTGGAAAGCAGAGTTCCAGCAGGCAAAGTATGTGCTCCATTTCCATATTTTATAATTGTGTACATCTTATTATGACATCTCATTCCTACTTTGACAAACTGGCAGGCTACCGAATGTAGCCTGCCCACACGGCAGAGTCTGGCAAATTCCCCGTGGCGTATCCAATATGCCAAATACCAGTAACAATGATGGGTCTCATTCTCCTAAAGAGCCTTGAATATAACCTCAGGGCCAGGATGAAGGAGACATTTACTGGGGCCTGCTCGAGGCAATCGACGAATAACAGGATGATTTGTGATTTGTGATTTGTGATAATTGTGTAATATTTATCCATGTGCTATTAGTCAAATACATGGAAAGAGTATCCTCCTGAGTTTTGGAAGTCAACTCCAAAAACCGGTTGCTAGAATGCCTGTATTTCTTTTTTTTAATATTTTATTTATTTTTAAAAACTTAATCACCATGAGATACACAGTTACAAAGTTGTCCATGATTGGATTTCAGTTATACAATGTTCCAACACCCTTCCCTTCACCATTGTACATTTCCCACCCACATTGTACCCAGTTTTCCTCCTAGCCTATATTTCTTAATCTGCCTGTTTTTTCACTAAGAGTCTTACTCACCAAATATACAGAATCATAACTAATTTAGTCGTCCCTATGTTAATTTCTGGAAGCATAGAGAAGCTATATTTCAGTTTAGTCTTTCAAAAAATGTGCAATATATGTTTATGATTTGCAAGTTTGACATGCAATTAGAAAATAAAAGAACACAAAATACATGTTCTTCATTGTATTTTTGTCAAATATTAGAAGTAAAATATATGTCAGCAATTTTTGTAGCTTACACTTCTTAAACAGATAGTGAATATGAGAGACAAGAGAAGTCAACAATACCTGGAAGCTTGGAATCACTTTTCAAAATTCCTGGTAAGATCTCAATCTCATATTCGTTTCTTAAAATGAATGGACTCTACTTTACTAGGTTAATGCAGGAATGAATCATACTGTGAGAGGACTCTGTAAAAAGAAACTTATTATCTCCATGTAAAAAATCATCCATAAAGTGTTCCCCTAATGAGATCCCACATAGCTTCTGATAGTTTCATCTTCCTCCAGAGACATTAACCTTTGCTTCTAGCAGGCAGCATATAATGGCAGAGGGAGATCTTAGTCTAATCAGGAGTTGAGAGAACTTGAAACTGAGCATCAGTGTTTGTGAGGGTGGGTCTGCTTCTAATTCATCTCTTTACAGATTCAACTAAAAGCTCTGGGTATGTGCCAGGGCTTCTGGGACTGTGAACGCCTGGTGAACTCGTGTGTCGGTGCCCTCATTCGCTCCCAACCCCTCTCGCTCCAGAAGATTGTAAGATTGCTAATAGCATCCTGCTCCATTTCTCACTTCCTCAGCTGCTGCTTTCCATCCAGACTTGTAGCTTCCAGACGCTGCTTGCTAATGAGCAAAGGCTTTCAGGAGAAAAGCAGAGCCCAAAATAACCTCCTTCAAATTCTTGCCTTGTTGATTGCTCTCTAGTGATCTGAAACAAACTTCAAATACTCCTCCCACCCTTTTAAACTTATTCTTGAGTGAGAATTGGTCTGCCGCTAATCAGCTTTTCCTCATCTATAAAATAATGGCCCTAACAATACTTGCAATACTATTAAAATTGAGAGGATCAAATATGGTATTCTAATGGAAAAATTTCTCTAGCCTATATGGTATAGAAATTTAGTCTGTATAGCTTTAAATACTTATACTTTCCTTTTATGGGAAGATAATGCATATAAAATCGATGCCATTAATTAATTTAGCCACGTTTAAGAACTACAACTCAGACTAATTGGAAGAACTAGTCAGTGGTATGTGTGTAGTTGAACTAGTTGTAATATCGCAGTACTTTCAAGAAATTGTGTTAAAGAATGCATCATAATATAACCATAGGCTAGCTAGCTGATGTATATACATCCAAGGGATGAAATCAGAAAATAAGTATATTCCCCTATATCCTGTATTACAACTGGTTCTATGGGTAGTTCCTCCTTGTTCCTTGGATAAAATCTCAGTTCTTTGCCGTACTCACTCTCAGACAATAGAAAGCCCTTACTGCCTTTATTCTGTGTCTGTGTCTCTATTTTCCTCCCCTTCCTTCTCCCTGCCCCACTGAATTGGGTCCTGGGTTGCCATCTGGAAAGAGATATACCAAGTGCTCTTATAGGCCTGGTGGAAGGCCTCATTTCCTTAGATCCAAGAGGGGCAGGATTCACAGCACCTCCACAACTATCATCACAAATCTGATCAGAATTCTGTCTCTTCGACCTCTCAGAGATGAGAAGCTACACGTTGTTTCTGTTGCTTCACAAGTTCTACTTCTGTGGTCTTGAAGCAATTGTTAGAATATGGTTGGAATTGGCACTTATTGCCTTGGGATCTGAGCCAAAACTGGTCCTAGGAAGGGTCGGGTGTTTACATCTCATTGCAAAAGCTTGAAAGGAATACTCAGAACAAACCAAGACCATTCTTATAATACAATCAGCAAATACAATATCATTTCCAAATATTACAACTTCTAGAGATTGAAGAGAATGAGAAGCTGTTTGGCCCCTCTCAAGTTTGCGTTTTTGTTGTTTTTCTTAGTATTGGTTATCAAGGGTCTCAAGAAGCCACAGGCTGCAGAGGGGAAAGAGAGGTGCTGCCTCAAGTGGTCTCATAGTTATCCCCCTGGGAGAGGGTGGAGTAGAACAGAAACACAGTATAAAGGGGCTCATTGGAGACACTTTCTGGGGCTTCCCAGGTACCCAGAGTGATAGCACTGGATGCGTGTGTCAGAGAAGTCAAGATTTAGTGAGTATGCATTATCATCTTTACCCTGATCTGAATCAGACCCACAATGTCATGTGGGTCATGGAAAATACGGGTTATGTAGAGAAGTGCACACACACAACACACAGAGACACACACACAAAATGAAATCACCTATGATCCCCCACCCTTCCAAATATGTGTATGTGCATGGAAAATTGGTATAACAACGACATAGCATGAACTTTCCCCTTATTTAGTATCTTCTCAAACTTCTTTTTAAAAATTTTTGCTGTTTTTTCCCCACTCTTGTTTTATTGAAGCAGTATGAGATACACAGTTCACAGTGTTTCATGATTGGGCTTCAGTCATACAATGTTCCAACACCCAACCCTTTCCACCACCAGGGTCCAGGTTTCTCTCCTACCCGGCTCCCAGCCTGCCTCTTTGACAGACATCTCTCTCTCTCTCTCTCTCTCTCTCTCCTTATCTCTGTCTCTCTGTCCCTGTCTCTTGTCTCTGTCCCTTTCTCTCTCTCTCTCTCTCTCTCTTTCCTCTTTCTCTCTCTCTCCTTTTAGGCATCATGCGTTGTGCAGTACAGGCACTGAAAGGTTATTATGTGTATCATTTTACCTCCTTCCAGCATTCAGCTCTTGTCCAGACTGACCATTTCTATCAAACATATCTCTTAAAGGCAAACTTCCATAGCGTGATTGTCATAATTGATTTTTGGATTTTCATTTATTTTTTCAGGTAGTTTTTAAGGCCTTTCCTTTTTACATAATCCTGTAGTGAATAACATGCAGTCTTTTTTGGGGCAAGGGGGCAAACCTGATGGTGCTCAGGGCTTACTTCTCGTTCTATGCACAGGGTGCTCAGGAAACTGTATGGGCTGCCAGGGATGGAACTCAGGTCAGCCATGTGCAAGGCAAGCGCCTTGCCTGCCAGCCTTCTGTGCTATCTCTCCAGCTTTGCGCAATCTTAAGTCTTTGTACACTTTTTTATTTCTTTGTTTCTTCTTTTTTCTTTTTCTGGTGTGGGAATCAAGCCCAGGTCTCATGCATACAAAGCAAGAACTATATGGCTTAGCCACATCCTCATCCTTGTATACTTATTTTCTTTTGATATTTTCTTGTGGTGAAATACAAATGTGGAACTTCTACATAAGCCATCTATCATCGTCATATTTCTCATGTGTATGACCACATTTTCCTTTAGGAAAACTACTTGAGAACTCCCACCAACCCCAGCAGCGTATGAGGGTGTCTGACAAGAGCCACTGTATATGGAAATCTTCGTTGGGCAAAATGAATGGTAATCAGAAGTAGGGCAGAGCCATGCGGGGAGAGGGAGGTGTGTGTGCATGTCTGTGCGTGTGTGTGCGCGCGCGCGTGCGCGCACAAGACAGCCTTGGCAGGAATTTATCCAGCAACTCGCTTCAGCTTGCGGAGGTGTACGTTTCCACTCGGTGCCAAGCGCTGTGAGCGACACTAACGCTGTCAATTACTACACTCGTCTACCCAGAAAGCTCCCGCAGATTCTGCAAAAGCACATCAGTCCCTCCCAAGCGGGAATTCAGCCTGCGACGCTGGATCCTTTCCATCCTCTCCCGGGTTCAATTTCTTCCCTATCAAATGAGGCTAGAATCTATGCCTGTCATCCCTTTCTTTGGGTCTGTCGTGGGATTCACGATACAGATAAAAAACGGGGAGCTCTGTGCACGGTGGAGCGTGGGCACGCGCCTGTTGAATTCTTACTGAAAAAGGGAAAAAAGCGCCAACGGTGTTCTAGAGAAGCAAAAAAAAAAAAAAGACCAAGAAAACGGGAGAGGCTGGGAGTGCGCGGGTGAAAGTGCACAGACAGAGTGAGCGGGAGGCGACCTTGGAGGCCGATGTGCCAGCAGCCGCCGGACTCCGCTTGACCCCGCCTACTGCCCCCGCCCCACGTCCGATGGTCCCGCCCCCGATCCTACTGGCCCCGCCCCTCACCGACTGGCCACGCCCCCGAGCCTGCTACCTCTGCCCCTGCTCTCACTGACCCCGCCTCCGCGCTCACTGGCCCCGCCTCCTAGAGGCCCCGCCCCTCGCGGCTCCGCCTCCGCGCGGCCCCTCCCGGAAGCGTCTCGCGGAGCGTCCCCGCATGGAGCGCGGGCCCGGCGCGTCGGAGGCCGCCCCTACAGCGGCCGCGCTCTTCGCCTGGGTACGTGACTCCGCCCCCGGGCTGGGACCGCGGGGCGCCGGGATGCTAAGAGCTGCGGGCATCTATGGGGGAGATCCAGGGCTTGTGCTGCCCAGATCGGAGCTAGTGGGCTCTAGGCTGGAGGACCCTGGGCTGGAAGGAAGAAGCTGAGCATGAAAGGGCTTGGAGGGGGCACCCCGTTCCCCCAGAGCGACCCCCCAACCTCGGGCCTGCTAAGCTGGAGGGGTCTGAAGCTGAGGGGCCGCCGCCCGGGGAAGAACGCGTGGTTGGGGAGAGCCTTCGGGCCCGGAGAGCGCCTGGCCAGCGAGGAGGCTGGACAGACACGCTGGGTGTCAGCGTCGCTCCGCGGGGCCACCTGTGCGCCTCCTCCTCCCCTCGGGGAGGCCTGGGCTCAGCCGCGCCCCAGCCAGGCGGCTGGAGCAACGTTTGCGGGGAGGCCTGCGTTGTTTGGCCGCGCACGAGGCGGAGACCTGGCCATTCATTGGGCTGCGGTTCCTCGGGGACACCCCCCACCCCCACCCCACAATCTTTTCGATGCCGGGGGCGTGGGTGTCTGCCCAGGGTTTGTTCGCCCGGAGCCGGGCCGAGACACAGGATCTGGATGTATTTGCAGATGGGCGAGAGGGGTCCCCAGGTGGGGGTAGGGGCGTGGGCGGGGGGCTCAGGGTAGGTTCTGCGTGGTGGGCACGGGCCCGGATGCGCTGAGCGGGCAGACGGGGTGTCCTATGGTGTTGCTTTGCACGTATCCCAGTTGTAAGGGGACGAGCCATTTGTTCATGCCAGGCTCCTGGGCTGGATGGAATGTCAGCGTCCCATGGGCTGCTGCTGCTCCTGCTGCTGCTGCTGTGCCCGTCTTGCTCACGGTGCTTGATTTGTGCCTCCCTGTTGTAAGGGACCCAGTAAGTACTTGTTGACGAATGAATGAGTTGATTCCGTTTTCTGTGCAGACCTCTGTGTTGATCTTTCGGGAAAATCACAGGCGTGAAAGTCGCATGCTGGGCATGGGGGCATAATAGCACCTTCCTTTCTGCGAAATCCAGTGTGTATGGGCTAATTTAAAACCTGCAGGTGGAATCGTAATGCCCAAAGCGGGAGGGGGGAGGGGGGAGAGAGGGAGAGAGGGAGGGATTGAGAGAGAGAGAGAGAGAGAGAGAGAGAGAGAGATTGGCTGGGGAGGGGGCTAGAAGGAGGGGATGGGGGATATTGGAGGTGGGAAATGTACAGTGGTGGAGGGAAGGGTGTTGGAACATTGTTATGACTGAAATCCAATCAAGAAAGCTTTGCCACTGTGTCTCACAGTGATTCAATTAAAAAAAAAATCTTGCAAGTGAGATGGCTAGTTCAAAGGGTGGCAGGGCATTCTTTTCACGCGGGAGGCTTGGGTTCAATACCTGTTACCGCCTGGTCCCCCAAAATGTGTTTTTAATGAAAGCAAGTTCAGCTTTCAAACATGTGAACCACAGGTACCAGCACTTGTTGAATGTAAGGCAGCACACTGGCAGAAGGGAGAGATATGGTGTACCCTGAGACTGGGTCTTTGGAGGTGGGGATTGGTTATGCTATCTTGTGGAGGCTGCTTTCTCAGCCTTTAGCCTAGCTAGGGAAAGTCCCACAGAAAAGCCTTTCAGATAGGATTATGCGTGTTCTTAAACAAAGGTACTGCTGAAACTAACAGGCTTCCGAGCTGGAGGCTTGAGAGTAATCTTGGGCTGGAGAACTGGGTGGGTGAAAGGTGGGTGAAAGAAATCAGCGAGCCTTCTCAGCACAGTAGGGCTCATGGGGAGTATTCAGTGATAGAAATTTTTTTTTTTTGCATCAGTTCTAGAAAATAAGTCCAAGATTTGGTTTTCTTTCTTGTATTTTAAATTTTTATTTATTTTTGTGGTTCTGGGGATCACACTTTGGGCACAGGGGATTTGAATTCCTGAATATATACTTGCAAGGTTGCAAGGCAGGAGCATGATGCCTCCAGACCCTGGTTTCTTTTTTTCTGAGACTGCTTTGGCTTGCATGTGGCTACCTTCTTGCTGTTCCTCACCGGGCTCTTTTCTCTGTCAGAGTGCCCCTGTGGGGTTTCTTCTTAATGATCCTGGTCTTATTGTATTAGGTCCCCATTTTGCAGGGGGAGGGGGGAGGCAAGGGTTTTGGCTATACCCGGTGATGCTCAGGGGTTACTCCTGGGCTCTGCACTCAGGAATTACTTCCTGTGGGGCTCAGGGGACCATATGGGGTGCCAGGGATCGAACCCAGGTCGGCCATGTGCAAGGCAGGCATCCCTTCTACTGTGCGATCTCTCCCAGCCCTGTTTTTATGACTACATTTAGCTTATATTACCAAATATGGTTGCATACTCTGAGGTTTTGGAGGTTTTATGATTTTAGGGCTTCATGATTCAGTCACTAATGAGGGGATTTACCTCCTTGGAGTAGATGTATGCATATGGGGGGTAGTTTCATTTAAATTTTTTAAATTTAATTTATTAAAGTACCATGCTTTACAGAGTGATCCATAGTTGATTTTAGACATACAGTGTTCACCACCAGTCCCACTATCAGCATCAACTACCCGTCACTGCTGTCCCCAGGTTCTGCCCCACTCCCTCCAGCCTGCCACCTTGACAGGTACCGTTTAAAGTTTGGTTTCAGTGTTATTGACACTGGTTTAGATATTTAGCTATGCTACTCCTTTATACCACTGATGTACTGAATACACTTGACCCATAGTTGCTTCCTGTCTGCCTCTTCTGCCCCCTTAATTCCTTTCCTTCTCTCTATACTCTGATACCAAGGGTGATCTGGGCATCGTGTGTGTGTGTGTGTGTGTGTGTGTGTGTGTGTGTGTGTGTGTGTTTGTAGGAGGCTTCCTAAAGAACATCAGCAATTTCAGTTGTAATAAGTTGTATCCCATTTTTCTTTTGCTTTATCATGAAATTAGGGTGTCTCAATTCATTACAAATATTTAATACCTGTGCCTCACTTTTCTGTTCAGCAACTGGTAATCCTGGACATGGAGTAGCCACAGAGATCTTAGGGCTGATGAAGAAAACCTGTGGATATGCTTTCCATGTTACACTGTGCATTGATCTTTCCTCAAGGCTCGAGGCTCTTATATTCAAAAACATTTGCTCACCTTCTCAGGTCCAGCCTAGTTTCATGTGCAAGGGAAGGTTAAATGACTGATGAAGTTCCTGCCCTTGTGGTATGTATTTTTTAGTGAAGGAAGTAAACAAATACATAAAGTCACGGAGTACTGGGAACAAAACTTAGGCAGAAAAAGAGAATAGAGGCATTGGGGGACTATTTCCTTTCTATTGAAGTTGTTATGCCTTATAATATCATGTAGGTTTCAAGGAGGCACCTGCTTAATCCCCCTGATCATCCGATTAGCCTGCTGCCGGTTGACCTCTGGGCTGGCGCACCATGCATTTTTTCTCCTTAGTGACAGTGTGGTGTTATGACAGGTATGAAGCTTGTTGGCATCCAGCTGTGTGACTATGGAATATTTCTTTATCTCTTGGAAATTTAGCTTCTTCCTTTGTAAAATGAGAGTCAAAATGCTCATCTTCCCCATGGGTGTGAGGATTACAGAGAAATTCCAGGTCTTGGAGAAGCATTGGTCATTGATTGCTAGGATACAGGTACCTTATCCTAAGAGTACTACCCCGAAGGCACCTACTCTGAGGGCCTCAGGGACATGTGTCCTGGCCGTGGGTTATGCTTCCAGCCTGATGTTCTTGCAGCTCGAAGAGTCTATGGGATGACCAAGGGCATGCGTACATTTCCCCTGTAATTACGTTACATCAGTTATCCTCTTCTAGGTGTGTTAAAGAGCATACATTTTATATATTAATTATTTTTTATTTTTTTCTCTCCTAAAAAGCAAAAAGGTAAAGGCCCTCCCGTTGATCGTCGATTTGCTCGAGCGGGCCCAGTAACGTCTCCATTGGAGACTTTGTTGTTACTGTGTCTGGCATATCGAATACTCTCGGTAGCTTGCCGGGCTCTCCGAGAGGGGTGGAGGAATCGAACTCGGGTCGGCCATGTTGGCCACTTGTAAGGCGAACGCCGTACCCGCTGTGCTATCGTAACAACAAAGTCTCCAATGGAGACGTTACTGGGCCCGCTCGAGCAAATCGACGATCAACGGGAGGGCCTTTACCTTTACCTTTTTAAAAAGCAAACATTTTAAGCATTTACTTCTGGTCTCTGGGAAGAACCAGTCAGTGGTAAATACCTGGAGAAATTATACAGAACTCTGAAATCTTACTGAGATTCTCCTTGTATTTCCACAATCCCTTCGGGTTTGGATGCAGAAATCCCTAAGAACCCCAATCTCACCTAAATAAAAATAAGACTGTTTATAATGCTTGCCTTTTACTGTGAGTACTTGTGCTTTCCCCTGAAGAAATAACTGCTGTTGCTTTGCTTATACTTTCTTGACCTTGCAGCAGTGTATAGAATTTATATAATGAATTCTTTTACTAAAGTCTATACAGTTCCAAACCTGAAATACAGCTGGTGGCTAAGGTTTGAGGCTAGGAGAATGAATATTATATAGCAGTGGCATTTTTTGTGTATGCACAGCTGTGCACAGGGCTTATTCCTGGCTCTGTGCTCAGGAATCACTCCTGGCTGTGCTTGAGCATACAAGTAGGTAGGCTGTGTGCAAGGCAAACCCCCTATCTATTCTACTCTCTCTCCGGCTCCTAACAATGGTATATTGCCCACTAAGTGGCAGTCTGTTTCCCATAGGAATCTCAGCACATGAATCTTATAGTTGTAAAGTTCTCCACTTGGAGAGGCCCTTTGCAATCATTACTAACTGCGTTCTCTGCACCAATCAAATAGCAGTGATGTTCTTTGCTGGCAGGCACAGTCTTTTGTTATCTTTGATTACAGAAAAGTATTGCCAGTTTTCCCAGTGAGGGTATAGAGGAGAAGGAACATGAACTAGTCCTATGTATTTCCCATCCACTTTGTACCCATTTCTCTTTCACCATTTCTGTTTTAGGGTACCTGTGCATTATAATTCTGGAAATGGGGCAGGAAGGAACTCCTGTGCTGTCCCCCAAAGGCTGGGGTCCTGGGAGAGGAAAGTGAAGTGTATCCTTGGCTGAGTCATGAATGCTAAGGACACCTCTTGCATGGAAACATGGTGTACTAGGGATGGGACCACCTCTATGTGTGGGATGCATGTAACTCTCGCTTGAAGAACATGCCTGTGCTTTCTTGGAGTTGGGATGAGCTACCTCCCCCCACTTCCCAATACTCCTGGTAGCACTGGTAGTAACTGCCACGAACCAGCTCCAGCACCACCATGTAAGCTCTGCTACCAGCCTTGCTTCAGAGACCCATAAATAAATCTCAAAAGAGATCAAAAGCCACAGTTAATCTTGGACTTATGCAAGGCTGAACACACCAGGGTAATCAGAAGGGCATGGGTTAGCCTGGTGCCTACCCAAGCAGAGCCCCCAGCAGTCGTTTGCTTCCACAATCCAAAATTGCTGCCATAGCCCCATTCTGCCATACTACCATATCATGACAGACCTCACCAAGGCATAATCTGTTGAAAATTCTGGTAGGCGCATTTTTGTGACTGAAATCTCCAGGCTTTCTTGGGGCCAGGATGGACTACCGCTCCCCACCTCCCTGTACTTCTGGAAGCCTTGGAGTCACATCCATACCCCAAAGCTGCCACCCAGTTAAAAAGCTACTCCAGCCTTATCGTCCCAATAAAAATACCAAACGCCATGTACAAACAAGATGACCTCTTAGTACCTCTATTGCAAACTATAATGCGCAAAAGGAAGAGAGAGAGAGAGAGAGAGAGAGAGAGAGAGAGAGAGAAAGAAAGAAGAAAAGTGCCTCCCATGGAGGGAGGCTGGGAGTGGAGGTGGGGTGTCGGGGGATGCTGGGAGGGAAATAGGAGGCATTGGTGGTGGGAATTGTACAGTGGTGGAGGGATGGGTTCTGGATCATTGTATTACTGGAACCCAATTATGAACAGCGTTGTATTGGTCTATTCTATGGATATTCAATTAAAAAATTAAAAAAGAAAGTAATGTTTCAGTCAGCTTAATCAGTGGCTAAATAAATAGCAGTATTCCTACATTTAAAAAAGGTTGGGGGAGCGGAGTGATAGTACAACGGGTAGGGCATTCGCTTTGGATGTGGGCAACCCGGGTTCAATCCCTGGCATCCCATATGGTCTCCCAAGCACTGCCAGGAATGATTCCTGAGTGCAGAGCCAGGAATAAGCCCTGAGTATCACTGGGTGTGACCCAAAATGGAAAAAAAAAAAGAGAGAGAGAGAGAGAAAAAAAAAGAAAAAAAACAAGCATGTGTTCTGGGTGCTGGAAAGGGGTGAAGGGGACAGAAGCACTGCACTGTCCTCCCGTTGTTCATCGATTTGTTCGAGCAGGCCCAGTAACATCTCCATTGTGAGACTTGTTGTTGCTGTGTTTGGCATATCGAATATGCCACGGGTAGCTTGCCAGGCTTTGCCGTGTGGGCGAGATACTCTCAGTAGCTTGCCGGGCTCTCCGAGAGGGGTGAAGGAATTGAACCTGGCTCGGCCGGGCCAGCCGCATGCAAGGCAAATGCCCTACCACTGTGCTATTGCTCCAGTAAAAATTAATAAATTAATGCTGTCCTTTTTTTAACCTTGGATTATTTTATCTTTAGGGTGCAAATAGCTATGGGCAACTTGGCCTTGGCCATAAAGAAGATGTACTTCTGCCCCAGCAGCTGAGTGTGTTCTGCAGACCCGAGAGTGTGCGGAAGATCACCGGTGGAGGCGGCCACTCTGCAGTTGTCACAGGTGACTTCCTCTGAGACCCTCCCATGGGGATGTTTTATTTCCTCCTTCAGCCTTTTGTGTTTTGTAGAGGAAAAGGTCAGTTTATCGTAAGAGAATTCAGAGTGTCAGAGCTGGGTTAACACGAGTGGGTTAACGACACAGGGATCTCAGAGAAACAGATTGTTTCAAATTATAAGACAGTTTAGTGGTAGGGTTGCAATATATGTGTATATATCTACATTTCTCTCTCTCTATATATATACATATATGTCACATTTTATACTCTGTATTTGCTAGAAGTTTTTGCAGTTGGAATGAATTTTCCATGAAAACAGGAAACTTGTATTTTCCTTGATTTCTGTTCACAGTTCCTAAGATAGAGAGTACTTAACAAACACTACAAACACTGTAATCTTGCAAAGGCGGGCTTAATTGCAACTTGCTTAAGAATTTGGGCTCTGGACCTGGGTCAAGTCCTGCCTTTGTTATTTATTAGCTATGTGAGCTTGTGCAAATGGCCTCATTTCTCTATCCCAGTTGTATTTCTCAAGGGTAATAGTGGTGGATGAAGAGAATCCAAGCTATCCGGGCTGCATTATAGCTTTAATGAGTCCTGAGCACTTTTGCCTTTGTGGATTTCTTCCTCCAAGTTAAATTTGTGGGGGCCACAACTATAGTACAGTGGGTAGGGTGTTTGCCTTGATGCAGCTGACCCAGGTTTGATCCCTGGTGTCCCAGATGGTCCTCCAGCATGGCCAGGAGTAATTCCTGAGTGCAGAGCCAGGTGTAACCCCTGAGATCACTGGGTGTGACCCAAAAAGAAAAAAAATTGTGTGCCAGAGTGATGGCTCAAAGGGTACATGCTTTACCTATGGGAGCCCAGGGTTCAATCCCCAAAACTTCATGGTTCCTGAGACACCACACCACAAGTAGCCCACAAACCCCACTGCGTCTGGCTCAAAATTCTTTTTCAAATTGTATTTTACAACTTTATTTATAATCATGCAGTTCACAGTAACATGGCTTAACTGGAAGATCATGTTAAATGAAGTAAGTCAGAAGAAAAAGGGTAAACATAGGATGATATCCTTTATATGTGATAGTTGGGATAACTGAATGAGGCAATGTAATGGTTTAAAGGGGTGATGCCTAGATCACCCTTAGCTCTAGAGTATAGGGAGGAGAAGGAAAGAAATAGAACAGAGGGGGGGGTGGAGAAGAAATAGCTGAGAAGCACTGGGTGGGAGGGGGTCAGGGGTTAAGGGGATTCAGGTACATCGGTGGCAGTAAGAAATGGCAGGGCTAAATAAATATCCAAACCACAAAGTCAGCAGCACTGAAATTATGAGACCTAAACTTTAACAACTGAGTTTAAGAAGGTGCCTGTTAAGAGGGCAGGCTGGTGGGTGGAGGGTGGGTAGGAGAGGGAACCTGGGAACACTGATGGAGGGAGGTTGACACTAGTGGTGGGATCAGTGCTGGAACATTGTATGTCTAAAACCTAACTTAATAAATCATGGTACTCTATGAAAAACAAGTGACTGATATAACTGGACTAGGTTTAGTATGATATACTTTTGTTACCCTTACTGGGATAAATCAATTCCTCATGGAATGCTCTTCTAACAGTATCTGGCACATTCTAACCACTGAATAAATATTTGCTTATTCAGTAGGTGGGGCTGGAGTGATAGCACAGCGGTAGGGCATTCGCCTTACAAGTGGCCAACATGGCCGATCCGAGTTCGAGTCCTCCGCCCCTCTCGGAGAGCCCGGCAAGCTACCGAGAGTATTCCATATGCCAAACACAGTAACAACAAAGTCTCCAATGGAGACGTTACTGGGCCCGCTCGAGCAAATCGATGACCAACGGAAGGGCCTTTACCTTTACGTTACCTTTACCTTTTATTCAGTAGGTATTAAGTTTAGGGATTGATTGGCTGCTATGCCAGAATGTGGGGGTTCCATTTAGATATTAGACTTGAACCTCTCAACTCCATGGAATTTGTCTAGAGTATATTAATAAAACATGGCTTTTGAATGCAGGTGGGGAAAAGTTCTTAGGTCTCTGCCTCTGAATTATTAGCAAAATCCTTCTGCTCACGTTGGCAGTTATGAATTCCCTGTGTGCATTATCACCTTTGTATTTTGCAGATGAAGGAAGCCTTTTTGTCTGTGGCTTAAACAAAGATGGGCAGTTGGGGCTGGGTCACACAGAAGACGTTCTGTGCTTTACCCCCTGCTCGTCCCTCCTTGGTTGTCCCATCCAACAGGTGGCCTGTGGCTGGGATTTTACTATCCTGCTCACTGGTGAGTTTGCTCTTCGCTGTAGCTGACCTTGTGACTATTGTTGCTGGGGGTCCTATGGTACCAGGCATGGAATCCAGGGCCTCACATTTGCAAGAAACCTGCTCTAAAACTTGAACACATCCCTACTCCTCCTAGGCTTTCTTTACCAGTGCAGCAACTTTGAGTAAGAAGAGTAGGGTGTAGAGGACACTGATTACATGAGAAACTCTGTGTTTAAAAACACAAACACATGCATGGCCGAAACACAGTACATAGGAAGGGCCCTTGCCTTGCAGGCAGCCATCCCTGGTTCAAATCTCTGGCCCCCTTATGTTCCTCAAGCACCAGCAAGAATGATTCCTGAGCACAGAGCCAGGAATCATCCCCGAGCATCTCTGGGTATGGTCTGCAAACAAACAAAAACAAACCAACCAAGAAACTCACACGCCTCTTCTTTCTAGTTGTCAACGAAAGTCACGAGGTGGGTTTTGTAAGGGAAGTTTTTACAGTAAAACTCTGGACTTGAAAACTTTTGCCAATGAACTTGATCACCTGTGGTGGTTGTTTCCTGTCCCAGAAGTCCCTGGGTCAGCTGGCCAGGAGGGTTAACCTTATTTCCCCAGAAGTTATTTACAGAGAACATATAGGAGATTGAGAGTTGGTGACAGTGATGGTGGCTTTTCTGCCAAAGAGGAATTCAAAATGAAATAGAGATGCTTGGGCAGAGTCATTTTTCCCCAGGAAGGCCAGATAGCACCATAGGATGTTGAGGAATGTGTTCTTGAGTACAAATTGCTATGGGCAGCTTGGCCTTGGCGATAAGGCAGATGTATTTGTGTCACAGCAACCAGCTGACTTCTGTCACCTGAATGTTCTTGCAGCTGTTGGCAACCATTATTTTATTAGCTGACTTCTCCTCAGAAGTACTTTGCTTTCTCTGTTCATCTTTACCTTGTCTAGCTGGCCACTTAATTCAGTGAGGCTCTCTTTTTATCTCCGTCTTCTGTTTTTTTTTTTTTTTTGACCCTGTCACCTCTGCTTCCAACTCTCATGGATTCTCAGGTGTAGCATCCACATCACAAGCTGTTAAGCATATGACTTAAACCTTACCTCTTATTCTTCAGACTCTATACTTTTCTTTCTAGCAACCAGCACATTCTCCATTTGGAGCTACTCCAACTGTTACCTGTGCTATCAGATGAACTCTTTTTTTTATTTTATTAAAAAAATTTTTAATAGTGAGACATCATGAGGTACAGTTGCAGACTTACACATTTTTGTGCTTGGGTTTCAATTATACAATGATCAAATACCCATCCCTCCACCGGTACCCATTTCCCACCACCACAGATCCCAGTATCCCTCCCACCCCCATCCCCCCCATCCCACCCTGCCTCTGTGGCAGGGCATTCCCTTTTGTTCTCTCTCTCCTATTGGGTGTTTTGGTTTGCAAAAGAGGCAATGGGTGACAATCATGTTTATTCTATAGTCTACTTTCTGCATGCTTCTCCCATCCTGGGAGGATCCTCCCAACATCTTTATTTGGTGTTCCCTTCTTTATTATCAGATGAACTCTTAATTCGTCTTTAAAACCCTCATGTCACCAGCTCTCTTCTTGCAGTGGGCCTTCCTCATGCGTGTTAAGTTCAATAGCAATTGAACTCTAAAGGTAGCAGCTTCCTCTTAGGAAGTGCTTAGTGTGGGCCTGTGTTTCTGGTTAGAGGGAGTCTGTAGGCAAGGTAACCCTGCTTCCCACTCCTATGTGGAACCAATTGTGAGAAGTGCAAAGAGCAATCAGATGGTTTGAGATTTCACTATTGGCTTGTTACTGGTAAAAGCTTAAGTTGGAGAACAGGGTTCATTGACAGGAAAAGTGTTTCTGTTGATTCTCTGCTCATCCAGACCTACCTGACTATCTCTTGCCTTCCCGAGGAAGCACAGACCCCTACTGTGTGTCAGCTTAGATGGCCCCAGAGGAAGTGCCAAGCTCTACATGTTCTCTTGTTTCTCCCGGGTTCACTAGTTTGGTTAGATATGCTGGGAAGCAGCGAGACTGGGGGAAAGAAAGGAGAAAGGTCTGGAGTGTTAAGGGAATGGAAATCCCCTCCCATGGAAGCCAGGGACTGAGCACACTCCCATCCTGACACAGCCAGGTGTTTGGCTGAGCGTTCTGCACAGCAGATCTGGATGAATTGGGTGGAGTCCTATAGTAGGTCTGGTGCTTTTATTGCTATAGGAGGAAAGATAGGGTGTCTGGTTGCGTGTGCTGAAGCATGGGGCCCCTTACTTGTTCCTCTCATCCCCTTTCCTCTTCTCATTCTTCTGCATTTGGCCATCAGTCACAAGTATCTTAACTTCTTAGATTTGCAACTTAAGTACGTGTATTTTGCAGAAAATGGTCAAGTTCTGTCATGTGGCTCCAACGCCTTTGGCCAACTGGGAGTTCCTCATGGACCTCGAAGATGTGTGGTTCCCCAGGCCATTGAGGTAGGAACAGCACCGCATATGTAGTTTGCATGTACCCTGGGAGACGGTTTCCAGCTTATTCCATTTATTCCTTCTCTGAATGAAAGGCCTGTTGGCTTCCTGAAAACTGAGGGGGTAGTTAGAAGTTAAAAAATTTACATCCTTGTGGGAAGAATTAGATGGAGATGATGGGGATGGAGGGGGAGGGTGAATGAAAAAGCTCCATTAGTTCACCTATGCATTATAATCTGGGGGACAGTCTCCCAAGTGGAGCTCAGGGAGGTCTGCAGTCATGCCCAGCAATACTTGGTCAGCATGATGGGCTGTTTGATGCTAGGACATGAGGATGTGTTGATGCTTGAACTCTGTGGTCCTGAGAGCTCTGGGCTACCCTGGCAATGCCTGGGGCCTCCAGGGCTACACCCAGCAATGCTTGAGGGACCATGTGGTGTCAGGGATTGAACCCAGGTCAGATTCATACAAGGCAATGACCCTAGCTCCTATACTATTCTGCCTGACATCCATAGATTTATAATTTTTGGAGGCGAAGGATTTGACCCACACCCAATAATGTTCAGGGGATTTTCCTGGCTCTGTGCTCAGGAGTTACCTATGGTGGTGCTCAGGGGAAGATATACATTGCTGGAGATTACATAGGGGTCAGCTGCACTCAAGGCAAGCACCCTAACACCTGTATTGTCTCTCCAATCCCCTACAAATTATAATTTTTTTATGAAACAAAAATGATAAACATATAGAGACATCATTGAAATTTTGCAGTTCTAAAATTAGTAATAATGGGAGATTGGGAAAAAATAAAATTAGTAAAAATGGGACAGCATTAGAAGTAAGTCAGCATCGAAATGACTTGCCTACACTCTAAGCTAGGCCAATAGTACTAGCACGATCCAATAGAAATGTAATGTGAGCTATATATGTGCTTTGAACTTTTCTTGGGGATGACAAATTGTAATTTTTCATTATTATTTCAGTATTGTACTTCACTGCTCAGTAGTAGGGCACATACTTTGCATGTGTGGGATCCTGGATTCAATCCCTTGCACTGCAAAAAGATGCTAGGACATGAGGACGTGTTGACTTTAGGCATATAAAATTCCAACACGTATCCCATCTCCTGTGTCAGCTTCCCTCCACCAGTGTTCCCATGATCCTTCCCCACCCAACCCTGCCCCATCCCCACCTGTCAACTTGATAGGCACATTACAGAGTTTCAGTAGTTGCAGCTTAGATCTCATGTTTTCAGTGTTATTGAGTCTGTGGATTGGATGTATAACTATACCAAGCGCCCATATCTCGGTATAACTGAAGTCCTGATGCCTGTTCACCTATTACTTCTTGTTCTCTTCTTCCTCCTTTGAGTTTTTTCCTTTGCTGTCCTTCTCCTTCCTAAACTCTGGGGTCAAGGGGGAATCTAGACATTCCTCTTTTACTACATTTCCTCATCAAGTATTCTGTATACCACAAATAAATAAGATTTGTCTGTGTTTGTCTTTCTTCTTCTGGCTTACTTCACATAACATGATATCTGAAAAAAATTTTGAGTAACTCCATTTCAAAAGGTAAAAAGGAGGGGCTGGAGCAATAGCACAGCGTTTGCCTTGCACGCAGACGACCCAGGTTCCATTCCTAGCATCCCATATGGTCCCCTGAGCACTGCCAGGGGTAATTCCTGAGCGAAGAGCCAGGAGTAACCCCTGTGCATTGCTGGGTATGACCCAAAAAGCAAAAAAAAAAAAAAAAAAAAAAGGTAAAAAAGAGACTGGTGAATTTAATTCTTATTGAAATATAATACCTAGATCAATATTTATTAAAATATATATATGCCCTAATACTTGCCTTTAAGATGTATAATTCAGTGGCATTTAGTATTTTCTCTAGATCTGTGCAGTTGTCACTTTTTATATTTTTATCACTGTGAAAGAAACTTTGTATACACAACAGGTACTTTTTATGCTCCCTGTTCTCTTGTCCTTGGCTGCTGCTTGTGTGGGTTGAATGTGCTGGTTTGGGGCATTTCATATAAACGGAATCATACGATCTGTGGCCTTTTATATCTGGCTTTTTCACTTCACATTTTCAAGTTTTATATATGTTGTGATACGCTGGAATAATTAATTTTAATGAACTTTTTTGGTTGTTGTTTATGGGCCATCCCTGATCATGCTCAGGTGTCACTCCTGGCTCTGCACTCAGAGATCACTCCTGGCGGTGTTCAGGGGGACCATATGGCATGCTGGGGATCGAACCTGGGTCCGTTATATGCAAGACAGATGCCCTACCCAATGTACTATCTCTCTGGCCCCTTCTGTTGCTTATGTTTTGCGCCGCATCCAGCAGTGTTCAGGGGCTGCTCCCAGCTCTGTGCTTGGCGGTGGCTCTGGCAGTGCTCGGGGAGCCAAGCAGAGCAGGGGATCAAGCCCAGACTCAGCTCATTAAACTTTATCTCTAGCTTAGTAACGTTTAAGCTAACTAAATGTAGTCAAACTATAATCACTTCACTTTATTTGTCATCAATGCAAAACTTTATTAAGGAGATCTTCTATATTTTTTATTCTAGCACAGTGGGTCAGGTAATGGAATCATACAATCTGTGGCCTTTCATATCTGGCTTGCACGTGGTCGACATGGCCAACCCAGGTTCGATTCCTCCGCCCCTGTCAGAGAGCCCGGCAAGCTACCGATAGTATCTCGCCTGCACAGCAAAGCCTGGCAAGCTCCCCGTGACGTATTCGAGATGCCAAACACAGTAACAACAAGTCTCACAATTTGTTGTGAGATGTTATTGGTTCCCACTCGAGCAAATCGATGAACAATGGGAGAACAGTGCTACAGTGCTACTAAGCCTTGAACTGTGGTATACATTTTTCCACTTACAGTATGTTTTGGTTCAGTCTCTCATATTTTGAGTGCTCGGTAGATATGTCTAACTCAAGGCTACTGCAAGAGGCAGCTCAAATGTTCGGCAAGACACCAGGTGCTTCTATACTGAAAATGTTCATTTTTTTCCTGAAGATTATACTATAAGTAAACTCTTTTGGGAGGGGCTTCCCAAGTGATGCTCAGGGCCCTGGGGTCACTGGTGTAATTCCACCAATCAGCCCGGAAGGTTCAGTGCTTGGACCCCGCAATGCTGCATCTGGGGTACTGTGTTCAGGTGTGGTTTCATTCGCTGGCCGGGTGTAATAAGCTGAACAAGACTCATACCCTCCTCTGGAGGCCTCTAAAGCAGCAGATTTCAGCTGCTGGTTTATGAATGTGAGAAAAGAGTGAAAACCACTGCTCTGAAATTTAGAAAGAGCCTGGTAACAAAACATGTGTGTGTGTGTATGTGTATGTGTATATATATATATATATATATATATATATATATATATCACTATCACTGTCCTCCCGTTGTTCATTGATTTGCTCAAGCAGGCCCAGTAATGTCTCCACTGAAGACTTTGTTGTTACTGTGTTTGGCATATCGAATACTTCACGGGGAGCTTGCCAGGCTCTGCCGTGCGGGCGAGATACTCTCGGTAACTTGCCGGGCTCTCCGAGAGGGGCGGAGGAATCGAACTTAGGTCGACCATGTTGGCTGCGTGCAAAGCAAACGCCCTACCGCTATGCTATATATATATATATAATTATATAATATATAATAATATATATAATATATAATATAATTATATGTATTATATATATATATATATATATATATAATACCAGTAAGGGATTGTTGTGGATAGCATATTCAGTCTCTTTAAAAAGAAGTCATTTGGGCTGGAGAGATAGAATGGTGGGTAAGGCACATAGCATGTGGCAGATCCAGTTTGTTCCCTGGCATGACATATGGTTACCCTTGCACCTTCAGGAGTGATTCCTGAGCACAGAGCCAAGAGTCAGCCTGAACACAGCCAGGTATATCCTCAATTCCCTCCCCCCCAAAAAAGCGGAAGAATTTGAGGGTCTGGGGTCTGAGATTAAAGCACTTGCCTTGCATATGGCCAATTCCAGTTTGAATTCAGACACCACATCTGGTCCTTGAGCACCTTCAGAAGTGACTCCTGATCACAGAGCTAGGAGTAAATCCTGAGCACCATGGGGTGTGGCTTCCTGCCATCCTCCCTTCCTTTTTCCACAAAAGAGGAATTTAAGTAATCAGTGCTAATTTAGAAAAGAAAAATCAAGAGGGAGAAGAAATCGTGATTGCTTGGCTTAGGGTACTTTTTAATTTTCTACTGAGGAGTAATATGTTACTCTCAAGTTTAGAAATCTAAACAGCAGGGGCCAGAACGATAGTACAGTGGGTAGGGTGCTTGTCTTATTCAGGTGACCTGTGTTCCATTGCTGACGCTGCATATGGTCCCCTGAGCATGCTGGGAATGATTACTGAGTGGAGACCCAGGTGTAAGCCCTGAGAAATGCCAAGTGTGGACTCCAAACCAAAAAAAAAAAAAAAAAAACCAAACAAATAAATAAATAAACAAGAAAAAATATGTCTAAAACAGCAAACATTTATTGTCTCACAGTTTCTGAGGTCCAAAAACCTGGAAACCGTGTAGCTGGTCACTCATGAATTTGGAGTTGAGATATCAGCCAGGGATACATGGAGTCTGCTGGGGTGTCACTGTACCCACACCCCCCATATCTATGCTTACTTACTCTCTCCTCTCTCCTCTCTCTCACTCTCTCTTTCTCCTTCCTTCCTTCCTTCCTTCCTTCCTTCCTTCCTTCCTTTCTTTCTTTCTTTCTTTCTTTCTTTCTTTCTTCTTTATTTCAAAAGAATTTTTGTCCACGCCACTATGCACCTGGCTTACTCCTGTGCGAAGGGATCACTCCTGGGGCGGGGACCAGGGTGGGGTGGGGGACAGAGGGAACCATCCATGGTTCTGGAGCTCAAACTTGGGTCATCCATGTGCAAGGTGAGTACCCTACCTGCTATACCCCGCTGCCGCCCCCTCCCTTTCATTGCTACAGGGGCTTCTTTAGAGGATCTTCCTGACACAGCATCTGGCTTTCTCCAAGAGTGAGGGGAGAGATAGATAGACAGACAGACAGATAGATAGATAGATAGGTATAGATAGACAGATAGAGACAGACAGTTAAACAGACAGACAGACAGACAGACCATGCAGAAGGCCTCAGTATTCTTTTATCACCTAAACTTTGAGTCTCTCATCACTTTCTTATTTAGTCCATTAGAAGCAAGTCAACATATTTAGGCCATGTCCAAAAGACATGAATTAAAGTCTGTCTTTTGAAGGGAGGAGTCTCAAAGAATTTATATACTCAGAGATTTTGGGGGGCCCCTCTCAAATAGTGCTCAGGAGCTCTGGGGGCCCTTCTGGCGATTCATGGCCAACTGGACCAACAGTTGAGAGCAGGGGCCTGAGTATGTGGTGCTGCTTGGGCCTTGCGGCTCTAGGAAATCCTGGGCTCCCCCAGCGGTGCTTCAGGGATATTCCTGGTGATGCTCAGGGGTCTCAGGGCTGCAGCTAGTGATGCTTGAGGGACCATGAGGTGCTGGGAATTGAACCTGAGTTGGGTGTGTGTTTGGCATATGCCTTAGCTGCTGTATGGTTACTTATTGTTTAAGAAAGGACATGACAACTGTCCTTATGTTGACAGCTTTGGCTCCCCCTAGGGAGGTACACTGGATTGTATAAAGATGAACAGGCATCTGGGGATGAACCCATGCATGTCACTGGAACCATTAGACATCTTGCTAGGGAACTTGCAGAGGGGTTTCTAGCATCAGGAGGGGGTTGGTCTAATTTAGTGATCAGCAAACTAGAACCCTTAGGAAAGAAAGCTTTATTGGAATACAGTCACACCCATTCATTCATTCCGCTGTTGTCTGTCTTGCTTTTTTGTTGTTTGGTTTTGGGCTGTACCTGGTGATGCTTAGGGTTTGGTTACTGCTGACTGCACTCCAGAAGCACTCCTGGTGATGCTCCGGGGACCATGTGGGAGAGGATTGAACTCGAGTTGAGTTGGCCCAACAGGGCAAGCGCTGTGCCTGCTGTACTCTTGCCCAGGCCCCCTCCCCTGCTTTTATGGTGGCAGAGCGGTCTATGAAGTCTTTCAGTCTTTATTCCTGACCCCTGACAGAAAATATTGGCCAACCCCCAATATTGACAACCTCCAGGACCTGTCCAGCTTCGAGAGGCATTGGGATGTTGCATTTTAAAAGATTTTTGTCTTTTAGGGATCAGATATTTGTGGATGGAATGCTGAGGGTGGGGGCCTCTAATAGTCAGGCATGGCGTGAGTGCCATGCCACATTGTCACAGGTCCGTGACATATGAGTTTTGAAAATGGATCATTCTGAGATCTTCCTTTTTTTGTTTCAACAGCTCTTGAGCGAGAAGGTCATCAGTATTGCTGCAGGACTGAGACATGCTTTGGCTGCTACAGGTGATCATTTTTGTTTTTATTCTCCAAATAGGCATGGAATAAGAAAACAGCTTAAGAACAATTACAGGAATGATTTATTAGAACCTGACTGGGAGTAAAAAATTTAACACACACATACACATACACATGCTCACACTCGCACACACACACTTGCACATACACTCACACATACACACATTCATATAGTCACACACACAAGTCACATATTCACACACACACTCATGCATATACTCACATGCACTCACACATACATACACTCACATACATACACACACTTACACTCATACATATAGTCACATACACTCACACACATATTCAAGCATACACACACTCATATATTCACACACATGGATACATGCTCCCAAGTAGTCAGGAGTCTGCAGCCCACATTGATTCCTGTGAACTGAGTGGCTTTGCTTGTGGAAATGAACATTTCTTACATGGAAAGATTAAAGTGAGCTTCTCTCCTGTGCTGTGAGAGGGTGAGGGGTACAGGGTTGACGCTGAGGTTGAGCCTGGAGAGAGGGGGTGATGGGGACTGGTGGAAGAGCAGTGACCCTTTTTCTCTCCTGGCTCATCTTGGTGTTCCTGTTCCTTTGGGTTTAGCAGGTCTATGCCACTGGTGTGGCCACCGAGGCCTCCAGGGCTTTCTCTGTCCAGCTGTGGGGAGGGGTGCTGTGCTGATGGCTGCCTGAGTGTACTGTGAACTTTTTTTTTTAGATCAAAATGTTTATTTATTTAATTTTTAAAATTTTTAAAAATTTTTTAATTTTTTATTTTTATTAGTGAGACATCATGAGGTATAGTTGTAGACTTAAAAATATGGAACGCTTCATGAATTTGCGTGTCATCCTTGCGCAGGGGCCATGCTAATTTTCTCTGTATCGTTCCAATTTTAGTATATGTGCTGCTGAAGCGAGCACTGTACTGTGAACTTTTTTTTTTTGTGGTCACACATGCTGATGTTCAGGGATTACTCCTGGCTCTACACTTTGGAATCACTCCTGGTGGTTGGGATGTTGGAATTGAACTCGGTTTGACTGCATGCAAGGCAAACACTCTACCTGCTGTACTACTGCTCTGGCCTAAGTGTACTTTAAATTTTTTATTTTGAGATACTCTACCCCAGTACCTCTGTTCACTTTTTCAATTTTTTTTTTTTTTATTCTTTTGGGTCACACTCAGCAATGCACAGGGCTTCTCCTGGCTTTGCATTCAGGAATTAAGCCTGACGGTGCTTGGGGGACCATATGGGATGCCAGGGATCAAACCTGGGTTGACCACGTGCTAGGCAAACACCATTCCCACTGTACTGTCGCTCCAGTCCTTTTTGTTTGTTTTTTTTGATCACATCCAGTGGTTCTCAGGGCTTACTCCTGGCTCTGCAGTCAGGGATCACCTGGTGGGCTTGGGGGATCATATAGGATGACAGGGACCTGAATTGGCTGTGTGCAAGGTAATTGCTCTTTGCATTGTGCTTTTCCTCTGGCCCAAAATTTTTAACATTTTAAAATAAAAAAAGATTTATTATTGGGGGGGGGCACATTTGGTTATGCCCAGACCTTACTCCTGGCTCCGTGCTCAGGAATCCCTACTGCCAGGGCTTGGGGAACCATATGCAATGCTGGGGATAGAAGTGGGATTGACTGTGTGCCAGGCAACCACCTTACCTCTGGACTATTTCTCCTTCCCAAATTTTATTTATTTCTTGGGATTACAGACAATGATGCTCACGGGCTACTCCTGGCTCAGGGCTTTGGGGTTGCACTGAGCAAAGCTTGGAGTATAGTATATTGTGAAGGAACAAACCTGGGGGTTCTACCTGTAAAGCTCGTGCTCCAGCCTGTTGTTTTGCTCACTTTGAGTCAGATGTGTAGCTGTGTTAGGATATGTGTGTGTACATACACCTGTATATATGTACATGTATTCTGAATATTAAGATGCTTTAAGTTTCTTTTGTTCTATAAATTTCTTTTCCCCCTTGTAACTTGTTGAAGAGGTAAAAAGTTTTGTTTTAGCCCAAATGGTTTTGCTTGCATTGTGTTCAGTTGTTATACCTTTCTTGTTATGGTGTTGTTTGGGTCATACACAGCTGTGCTCAGAGCTTACACCTGGCTTTGTGCTTAGGGATCATGGCAAGCTTGGGGGACCTGATGTGGTAAGAGGTTGAACTGTATTGGTTGTGTACAAAGTAAGTGCCCTAGCTGCTGTAGTATTGCTCTGGCCCCTCAGTTGTCATCCCTTCCATCTTACAAAAAACGATAAGTCTAGGTGCTGGAGTGATAGTTCAGGAGGTAGGACATTTGCCTTGCATGTGGCCAACCTGGGTTCAATCCCCGGCATCCATATGGTCCTCTGAGCAGCGCCAGGAGTAATTCCTGAGTGTATGAGCCAGGAGTAACCCCTGTGCATCACTGGGTGTGACCCGAAAAGGAAAAAAAAAAAGATAAGTCTACTTCCAGCCTTAAGGCCATTGGTTGTAGGATACCTCCAGAGGTGCAGAACCTTCATGTTGCCAGTGGATGATGGATCCTTGTTACCCACCTCTAACTGTAGGCTAAATAGAGCAAGTTTCATTAATGCATGTGTGTGGAATTCTGAACTCAGGAACATGAATCAGACTCAGTGAACTTGGAAATAAAAGGCCACTATTTGAATGAAGTAGAGGCTGTTGAGATACTATCTTGGAGTCATAACTATGTATTTAATAATTAGGATTTGTTTGAATCTAAAACTCATCTCTGTAAATCTCATCCCCTCTTGGGACCTTAGCTTTCTTATCTAGGAAATATGGGGAAATGGACTTAATCACTTGCTAGATCTGAAGTTTGAGTCACCCTTTCAGGTTAATCATGCACAAGATGTCATTTCAGTAATTTGACGCTGGAATCTTGTGGAGGGAGTTTTACTCTGTTGAAGTTTTCTCTGATGGTTTCCAGTTGTCCTGAAGCTTAGACTTGTGATGAGCCTGGTGGTGATTCTCTGATCTTCCCTATAAAAGTCACGTGAACAGTGACTTTCCCCCAAGATGTGTGTTAACTGGAGTGAATTGATCATCTCCCATAACTGTGAGGGTCAACAAGCTGTACAGACTGATCTGGAGAAGTAAGTCTTGTCTCCTTTTCCTCTTCCTGGGAAGCAAGTGGCATCCTGTTCCAGTGGGGAACTGGCCTGGCATCCTCTGGTCGGCGGTTGTGCCCTGGACAGACACTGCCCCTGTTTTTGACAGCGAAAGAACCTAGCAGAGTGACAGGTAAGGATTTCATTTCTTCTGAGCCCTCTGTGTAGGCTTTGTCAAGATGTGGAGATGCAGTCATGCAGGCAGGAAGTGGGTAAATGGAAATTATTTTTGCTATTTCATCGTTGTGTTCATGTTAATCCTCTTTGTTGATGGGTCTTAGTCTTGTTGGGATTTTTGTGGACTCAGTAAAAACACCCCCCCTCAACCCTTATTTTACCGCCAGATTTTGGAGCTCATTAGAGAGACAGATGAAAGTCATGTAAGTGGAGATTAAAATGGTCACTCTCAAACTGTTGGAAGCTAGGCGGCAAGACATGACTTAGGTTGGCGGTGAGCCCCTGTATTCTGAATCCCAGATAGGTAATTGAGCAACCGATAAAATTTATGCTTAGCAGAAAGCACACATGGAAGTAGTCCCACACTGCAGGCAGGCATGCCCCAAAGGGGGATCCCAGGACTGTGTCCCTCATACCTAGGGTCTTCTCTCAGAGTAGCTGGGAGGCAGAGTGGCCCTGTGTGTACCTCTTTCCCTGATGACCAGGGTTCTGCTCTCAGGTCTGTTGCTCTTATGGTCTGTAGGACTTTCCTTTTTCACTTTCACGCTGGGGTTCAATGTTTTTCCCTTTCCTTGGTGAACTCATTGTGGGTCTTTCCATAGATACTACCCTGGCTCCATTTTCTCTTCTTTTTTTTTTCTTACCTCTCTTACCCCTTTACTTTATGAACCAGATTCATGAAAGTTGGGCTGCGGGGAAAATCTCTAGGACAATCCTTAACTTACCTCCAGCTCAGAACACAGGAGGGGTTTTGAAGTGTTTGGAAAGGATCGGGGGTGAGGGTCGAGGGGATGGTAAGACCACATGTCCTAGACGGTTTCTTGGTCTTAGGTGTGGATGCTGGGGACTGGGATTTGAGCTTGGTGAACTTCAGGGAAACTCGTGGGCTGGGCTGAGGTAGTTGCTCCAGGAAAGGAGAAAGGGGCTCTGGGTGCTGGACCGGAAGTCAGTCTACATCACATGTTGTACCTGCACCTCACCAAGGTACCCACTGTGCCCCGACTCACCCTGCTTTCTCATTCCTCTTTTCTTTCGGGCAGACTGCTTCCTGTCCAGAGCTGCCTTTGCCTTTTGTTCATCCCTACTTCTGTTCCCTTAGTCCCAGGAAATCCTAATAGTTTTTTTTTTAAGACCTCACAATGGAGACGTTACTAGGCCCGCTCGAGCAAATCGATGAACAACGGGAGGACAGTGCTACAGTGCAGCTCAGCTACAACTTGCTCAGTAAAGACCTTGGCTTCCATTCATTCCCCCCTCCCCACTTACTTGTTTAGTGTACATATATAGATTAAAAATATATATTATATATATATACTGTAGCACTGTCCTCCCGTTGTTCATCGATTTGCTCAAGCGGGCACCAGTAACGTCTCACAACAAATTCATATCAAATACATCATGGGTAGCTTGCCAGGCTTTGTCATGCGGGTGAGATACTCTCGGTAGCTTGCTGGACTCTCTTTCTCTATATAGAATATATATATATATATATATATATATATATATATATATATAGTTTTTGGGCCACACCCAAAAAGTGCTCAAGGCTTACTCCTGCCTCTTTGCTCAGGGATCACTCCTTAACAGTGCTTGTTGTCCATATGGGGTGCTAGGGATTGAACCGGGGATGTCTGCTTGCAAGGCAAGTGTCCTACCTGCTACATTATCATTCTGGCCCCATTCAGTATATTTTTGGATTTAAATTCCTTAAATTTCATTATAGTTGAGGTGATGTAGCTACCATAATGCGACCATTTATATCTTGGTTTACAAAGTTACTCTTCACCTCTGCCCCCACAGTGGTGAAGATTCACTTCTACCTCCCTCAATTTCTCCACAATTGCAGTAGATGTGTTTAAGGCCTAGCTCCAGCTACAACTTGCTCAGTATGTTTCCCAGGGTCTAAAGATTTTTAAGCTGTATTTTTTCTTAAGAGCAGGAATTATGTCTAATTTCCATTTTAACACAAGGTCTGCAACTAGAAGGAATCAGAATATTTTCATTAATTTGCTTTAAAATCCACTAGGAATCTGCTTGGGGTGTAGCTAGCTGGGCTCTGAATTGAAGTGGGGAAGTTTTCTCTTGATAAGACTTAAATTAAATCTTCAACTTCCTGCTCTTGAATTTTTTCCTCTTCACCTCATAGTCATGGGTTCTGCAGCTGGGCCCTGCCTGTCCCTTCTTCACCTGACTGCTGGTGTCCAGTACTTTCTCTTTGAATCACCTGCTTTGTCCCTTTCACATTCTCCAGAATGCTTAATGATGTGAAGGACAGTTTCTAAGGACATTTAATTTAGTTATAAGTGTCAGGAAAAGTTACAGAATAAAGCTGCTCTTCTCTGCAGGCTGGTGTTACCGAAATCTAACCAAGAATCAGCACGCAGGCACTAGAGAGATTAGAGGTGGAGTTAAGTTTCTCAAGTTATTTATTTTTTTTTCTGGACAACACTTGGCGGTTCTCAGAGCTTACTCCTGACTGTGCCCAGGGGTCACTCCTGGCAGACTCAGGGGACCATACTGAAAACCAGGAATCAAACCAGGGTTGGCTGCATGCAAGGTAAACATTCTACCTGCTGGCCCCTCAAATTTTATTTATGCATGTGAACTCCATCCGGCTAACACCAAAATGTGTTGAGCCACAAATGCAGTACACACAGAGCATAAGTAGGTTAGAAGCAGGATACACCAATTCTGTGGGAACAATTTTCATACCTACTGTACACAGTGGGTGCCAGTATATGTAATAATGCTGGGTACAATCAATGATGAATATGTTCTACGTTCCATATAGATATTCACTAATTGTTTCTGTGGCCCCAGCTCTGTTCCTGTTCAAGCAGCCAAGTCACTCCAGTTCTTCTGCTCCATCTGGTCACAACTTTATGATTTATGACCTATCTTTCTTTGCCCAGCTCCTAGAATGGGTTACTTCGAGGTCCTGCCTCTGATTTCCCACTTCTGCTTCTGAATTTTCCCACTGCATGGGACCAGATGGCTACACTTTCTAGCTGAGTTGTTTGAGATTGATGATACCTTGTTGGCAGCTTGTTTTCCTTATGGAAGGAAAACTGCTGAATATAGAGATGGCAGGCAGATTCAGACTCTAATTTTCCCTGTGTATCAGAGGCCTGGGTTTTGTGTAGTTGATCGCATGTGATAGCAGCTAAATGCACGAGATGTCATTGCTCAGGAGACAGCTGAAGAATATGTTCTGTGCACACCAAATTTATGCAGACATATGCCTACATTTATTTATACTTATTAGACATTATGAGTTTAGGGGCTGTAGTGCTAGTATAGTGAGTCCAGCGCTTGCCTTGCATGTGGTCATCCTGAGTTTGATCTCCTGAGCTCTGCCAGGTGTGACCCCAAAACAAAAACAAACTAACAAAAAATATGTTTATACTGGTTTATGCACTTAGAATCATCCAGTATTACATGATTGATTCCAGACTTCCACATCTGTGCTTCTCTCTTGATGCTGAGGAGTTTGCTGCCTTTTTCCTTAATTTATCTCTATTTGTTCAACTCTCTGATGTGTAGCCAGTTTCTCTACTCCCTCACATGCCACTGCTTCTGAGGTTGGTGCTGTTAACTTAGACCTGTTTGCACTGGCTGACACTTTCTTTCAGGTCCTGCTGGTGCTGCCTGCAGGCCTTCTCTGCCCAGTTTGTTCTGTTATAAATGTGATTTCAAAAGTTTCTTTTCTTTTTGTAGGCCTTGGGAATTCCAGAGCAATAGGCGTTTTTGCTGGCTCAGGCCATTCAGCTTCATTGACAGGTGGGTACCAGTCCTTGCAGTGTAAGACGCCTTTCAGAATTGGGTAGGTTCTGCAGAAATGATGACCTTGGGAGAGGCAGAGGACAGCAGAGTCCAGGAGGTCAGACTCCTGATGCCACCACTTGTGGCTCTTGGGCACGTTCCTTTACCTCCCTGAGATTTCCTTATCTAAAATACTTTGTGGATAGTTCTGAGAACTAGATAGAAAAACTCTCATGGAGTGTAGACTTGTTCTCTTTTTTCTCCGAGTTTGTTTTGTCAACTCTGTAGAAGGCATGTGAGTGAGGAGTCACTGACCCAAGAGAAAACTTATCTGAACACACTGTTATCCATTTCAGTATCTAATTCTCTAAACTCCTCTCTAGCTCTTTATTCTGCAACTAACTTATTTTATCCACCTGTATCTTTGTCATTGAGTTCTGTTTGCTCCCAGTGGTTTATCTACTCTTCTATTCATCTTTTTTTTTATTTCTACTTAAATGACGCATCACTTTAGCTTAGCTATCTCTCTCTCTCTCTATCTCTAACACAGTTCACACACACACACACACACGCACACACACACACACGCACACACACACACATGTATATATTTCTATTTATTTGTTTTTGAGTTCCACTGGCTGGTGCTGGAAGGCTACTCCCGCTTTAGTGATTAGGGTCACTCTGGTGGTGCTGAGGGGATCTTGCGGTCCCCAGGAGGAAACAGGGCCTCTGGTATAAAAAATATATTCTCCAACTCGTTCCCAGGCCCTGTATTTTGTATTTTTTATGTATTTCTCCAATTTCCCTCTCGGTTCCACCTCTTCCGGTACCCAGGGATCTCTTTCCTTTTGATAGAAGCACATCTGTCTTTTTGACTCTGTATCTCTCCGCCCATTTGACACACCTATCCTCTCCCTAGAAATGTTTATTGACAATGCGGCATTTTCTTGCAGATGAAGGTTATCTCTTCAGAGGTTACCACTGGCGGAGCCCAGATTGCCCTGACCCCTGCTGGTAGACTGGAGACAATAATGCAGAGATTTATTTTTGTCAGACCTCTCACACAGAGTTGAATGCGTCTAATATATTTCAAGCAAAGGGGAATGACTTTCAGAAAGCCCTGAGTGTTTTCAGTGTTTTTCCGTGAATCGGAAGGTGTGTATGTAAATATGTAAATTATTGGCAGCTTGCATTTTCATCCTCCACACTGCAAGGCAAATGTGCAAAGCAGTCCAACTGAGAAGCTGTTATTGTTTCCAGAGTCCAGGAGACAATAACGTAAGAATTCTGATACTCAAAATGAATTACAGATATTTTTTTAAATTTAACGAATTAAAAAACAACCAGCTAAAAAAGCAAGATCAATTTATAGTTTGTCTCATTTTAAGTAGATTTTAATATATATATATATTTAAAATGTACTTTTAACAAAACCCAAAAGGCCTTTTTGGGGATTGCCGAGCTCCCCTTCGCAACACTTCCCGCGGATTTTCCCTTTCTGTAGACTTGCTTGGGCTATGAGAAATATGGAGTTGTCCTCCACCTGCTTGGTCATTCAACTGCATTCCATTCAACATTGGACTAATTCTAATTGTGGATATTGTTTGATTTCAGAACTCAAATCACAGTTTTAGGATGTGGCATTACAGCAATTTCTTTAGGGAACAGGGGTATTACATACAAGTGTGCTGTAAGATTCTCTTGTTGAAACTATTATGCCATTGGAGTGCTCAGTTGACCGAGCATGCGACTTGAAAGGTGGGGACCGGCTCCATCCCTACAACCACATCTATGGTCTCAGCATCACAGGAAAAATATAGGAGCCTAATGCTGGGACTAGAGGGTCCTTAACCTCAGTGGGTGCTGAAATATAGAAATTTATTTTATTGTATTGTTTTTTAAAGTTTTCATTAAAGTGCCAGTATTTTCAAAAAAAAAAAATGTACTTTTACTTAAATACAATTTGTTAACACATATATTCATATCTAACGTATTTTAAAAGTGTTGAGCTACAGTGTATGTAGCCATACAGTGTATGTGGGCATGGGGGTCTCACCTCTCCTATAAAAGATGAAGGAGTGGGCTCCCATACGGAAAAGGGGCTAGTTTATGCCCTACAGTCAGCAAGGATTGGGAGAATAAGAGAGAATGAAGATATATATCTAGTTTTTCATTTGGTTTTGGGGCCATACCTGGTGGTACTCAGGGCTTACTTCTGGTTCTACACTCAGGCATCACTCCTGGCAGGGCTCAGGGGACCATATGGGATGCCAGGGATTGAACCTGGGTTGACCTTGTGCAAGGCAGGTGCCCTACCTGTTGTGCTGTTGGTGTGGTCCGAAGAGATTTTCTGTGCTGCTCTAATTAATTTGAAATGCTGCCATTATGTAAATCTAGAGTCTCTAATTGCTTGCTAAATTTTAATTTTTTTTAAAAAAAACTTATAATTAGTAAAACTACATATTATTTCATGTGGAACACTCACAGTGTTTTTTAAACATAGGCGTTGACTTTTTTTTTTTTAATTGAGATGTAATTCATCCATGAAATTCACCCGTTTAAAGTGTACAGTGTGACAGTTTGTAGAACATTCACAAAGTGGATTGAATTTTGAAAGTGATTTACAAAGTCATCATCATCATCTTTCCTGTTCTACTTCAAATTGTTGCACTTTGGGTTTTGTCCATTGTCCTTTAGACCTTTTCTCTGGAGTTGCTGTAGATTATGTAACTGCTTGGCATTACAGCAGAAGTTTCATTTTGCCTGCGGATGCAACAGTGTAATGATCCGCCTGTGGAAGGCAGTTGTCTTTGCAAAAAAATGGTTGCTCTCTGTGTGGGGAGGGAAATATCCCAAATTCACTTCCTAGACCTGCAGAAAGTCACTGCAGCTGGGTCATTTGGGGATACACAATCTTGAAGGACGCATCCACACTCTTACAAGAGTTGAAGAAGTAGAGACCCAGAATGTGAGGTCACATGCCCAAGGTCACAGAGTGATCGAATAGCACGGATCTGGGACTTCAACTCCTGAGTATTGGGATAATGTCCTTGAACGTTTGGTTAGTTTTGGAGACTGTTCCAGGCTGTTCTCAGGCAAGCTGTACCTTCAGGCTTTGTTGGAAGGTACAAGGTGTCAGGGAGGCAGAACTGATTTCTGGATTCTGCCTGACTGGTGATAGCTGTGTGATCTGCAAAGGCATGTAACATCCTGAGCCTTGATTAATTTATTTTAATATGTTATTTGCCTCAGTATACCCAACATCTGTATACAGATGCTATACTTTTTTGTTTGTTTGTTTTGCGCCCTGTCTTTGCAATTTTTTTTTTTGCTTTTATTTTTATTTTTGGATTTTATAGCACAGCTCAGTCTGAACTAGCCACACGTCCGGTTAAGTAGCCACATGTGCACACACAGTGCTTTAAAGCGCAGGAGGGATCTTCGAATGTTACGTTTGAAGAAACTTTTTTTTTTTTTGCTTTTCTTGGGGTCACACCCAGCGATGCTCAGGGTTACTCCTGACTGCACTCAGGATTACTCCTGGCGGTGCTTCGGGGATCATATAGGATGCCGAGGATTAGGTTGGCCGCATGCAAGGCAAACACCCTACCCTCTGTACTATCGCCCCGGCCCAGTTTGGAGAAACTCTTGGAGATCATTCAAGGAGTCAGAAACTGCTCTTAAGCCAAATGTGGTAGATTTGCTTCCAGTTAATTTCTTAATTGGGACCGCACCCAGCGATGTTCAGGAGCCACTCCTGGCTCTGTGCTCAGAGCCCCTCCAGGTGGTATTTAGGGCCCTTATGTGGTACCCATATGAGTCCGTGGCATGTAAGGCATATGCCCTGTCACCTGTTTCTCGCCTGCCCCATTAGTATATTTTTGTGTGTGTTTGTTTGCATTTGGGCCACCCAGTGATGCTCAGAGCTTGCTCTGGGCTCTACACTGAAGGTGCTCCGGAGGCCGTCTGGGGAGTCAGGGATCGAACCCAGGTTGGCTGCGTGTGCAAGGCAAGCGCCTTATCCGCTGTACGATCTCCCCAGTCCCTAACTTATTTTTTTTTCTTCCTAGCCGCCCCTTTTTTTGGGTGGTTGTTTTTAATGGAACTCCTTCTGACCAGCACACAGGCTCTGCTTTCCCGCTCTCGTCCTCTTCTCCCTGCTTATCAGCACCATTGGTTCTGCTGTCTGCCCTTGTAGGCCAACTGCACTCCCCTCTAATTTTCAGTTGGTGAAGCGAAGGCTTAGGGAGGAAGTGATTTGTCCAAGGTCAATAGCTAGTTAGCAGATCCAGGAATAGAAGCCAGAGTCACTTGACTCTGAATTTGTTGCCTTTCTATTCAATCACAATGTCAGTCCGTCACATTCCTTCTTTAGATCGTGGGATTGTGGTGTGCTCCAGAGGAGCTCAAGTGCTCCACAGATGGGAGGTGGTGCTCCGTGTCCCACTGCTCAGGCCAGCAGAGACGTAACCTTATGTTTCAGGAGCTTAGGCTTAATCTAAATATATATTTTAATCTGCCGTTTAAGAAAGAGAATAGGTGCCTGTTTTCCCTAACACAAGGTAACGTGAGAAAGTACTTCAAAAAGATACAGAAGAAAAGGTGTTTTGGTCGATGCCGAATAAATATTTGTTGAATGAACTAAGGGAAAAGCAAACTCATATTCCTATTTCTTTTTTGTAAACTATTGAGGATCTTTAAAATCAGGCCAGAGTGATAGTACAGCAGGTCAGGCACTTGCACACAGCCCTCTTGAGTTCTACCTCCAGCACCACATATGGTCCCCAGAGCACTGCCCACAGTGATTCCCTGAGCGCAGAGCCAAGTAGATCCTGAGCACCACTTGGGTGTGGCCTCCAACCTCCCTCTTCCAAAAAAAAAAAAAAATTCCCCAAACAAAATAGGAAAGAGAATCTTGAATGCTATTTTGTATTTTATTATTTATACATGAATTTCCCATCCTGCTTTGCCCTGGCTCACCATTGTAACATAAGGAGAAAAGCACTTCTTGGAGCCGGAGAGATAGTACAGCAGGTGAGGTGCTGGCCTTGTGCACTGCCAGCCCAGGATCTTGGCACCCTCTATGGCCCCGAGCACTGCCAGGAGTGATCTCTGAGTGCAGAGCCAAGGAGTGAGCCCTGAGCACCGCCGGGTGTGGCTCCAAAGCAAGAATGCCACTTCTAACCACTGGTTCCCCTTCCCCCAGCCCGGTGCTGTTTTCCCTCACTTGGAAACTAATGTTCCTTCGTCTCTTTGGTTTCCCCTTCTGTTTGTTTAAGATGCCGGAGAGCTGTATGTTTGGGGAAGCAATAAGCACGGGCAACTGGCCTCCCCGGCTGCTTTCCTGCCTGAGCCCTGGAAAATAGAAACCCGGTGTTTCCAGAATGAGAAGGTCACCGCCGTCTGGAGTGGGTGGACACACCTGGTGGCACAGACAGGTGAGAGAGCAAGCAGGGAGTTGGTGGCAGGGAAGCAGCTGGGACAGCTGTCCAAGCGAGCTCCTTTTTGCTGATGGAAAAACTTCCAGGTATGGGAAGGGAACAATTCTGAGTCTCGTTCTGCCATCAGCCAAGCACGTGGCTTTTTGTTTTTTTGCTGCTTCGCAGACAGCACCAAGTGAGGTTAACTCTGCTGAACCTTAGGAATCCTGATGTTTTGAGAAGAAACCCAGTGCCTTGAGCTTCTCTCAGGAACGTGTCCAGGTTGTCGGGCAGACGCTGCCTTGTCAGCGCAGGAGAGAGGGGACTGTGCCTTGCTGCCTGAGCTCAGTGAAAGTTACTATTTGAAGACTGAAGCAGAAACATCATTTGGAATCATTGCTGGCAAAAAAAGAGACTTTTAATTTGTTTTTAAATTTTATTTTCAAGGAGTTCACAGTAATTGATTACAGTCAATATTTCAACACCAATCCCACCACCATTACACCTTCACACCACCTCCCAAGCCTGCTCCAAAGGCAGATGCTGAGTAATTTATTTTGTATTGCTTGTTATGAATAATTGACTAAAAATGATCAAAAGGTTTCCTAAGAGAAAAGTGTGTGAAAATTGTTTTGTCTCATCTTGGAACCGTTAAGTCCCTGAATTAGAGGTCATTAGCATGTTGTTAGAGTTTGAGTCTTGTGTGCTAATATATGAGTGTGTGTGTGTATATATATTTACTACAACATATCTTTTTTTTATCAAGATTATCTTCAACCTTACATCCCATCAAATGAGGTACGCTACTCTTGGTGTATTGGTGGCATAATTGTACAAGATGTCATGCGGCCACAAAAATTGTCTGCGTGCTCCTGGAATGCAAAACTTTTTTCACAGGGTACTAGACTTGGGGTTAATTTTTTTTTGTAACTGGATGGCGATTTTGGGGTCCAGAGGCATCTCTGTAGCATGCTGCTCTCTTCCGAGATTCATTTGTGTGTCTGGATCATGGCTGTTAATGCAATTAAATGGCCTCCAAAGGCAGTTCGTGGGTGTGGAAGCACAGGGAAATGGGTGGAGGGGCATTCCTGACTCTGGAAGCCTAGAGATTTCACACTATTTTCATTTTTTCTTCACCCCAACAGACTAATTCAGGTATCTCACGTAAGCTGCTGAGATATCACCATGTAATGCCAGGTCACCTAGTTTGGGGCATATTTGTTTTTCCTTGAGTTTTATTTCTCATCTTTCCCGTAATGATCTCTACTCCTGGTCTTCATGTTCTCTTTGTTCTCAGGGGCTCGTTTTTTTTCATGACCTCTTTTTTGTTGCTGCCTTTCTAGAGCTCCTTCTAACTTTGGAAATTTCCCTGGACAGGCCATTTGTATTCCTCAGATCTGTTCGCATGACAGGGTCTTCTGAACCTCAGGGGTTCTGAGGAGTCCCCTGACCTGCTTCTTTATTGTTGTTTTTAGGGTCCACTTGGCAGGGTTCAGAAGCTATTCCCCACATGGTGCACTGGGGCACCCTAAGGTGATGGGAATTGAATTCAGGACCTTGCACATGTGTGGCAAGTGTTTTACCCTGCCCCCTTTCCTTGCTTTCAGTTTGCTTGTTAACTGCATGCATATCCTGGGCCCAAATAAATATTTTTTCTGGTCAACTTCTGGTTCCCAGCCAATCTGCACATAATACACATTTGAGCACACAAACATAGATGTAGAAATATTTTTTTATGAGGCTTTTAGTTGGTATTTTTTTGCTATGAGGTTTGTAACAAGATACTTCATAAGCTTCTGATTTTACCATTTTGGAGGATGTGATAGGAAAATGTGTCACTCATTTAAAATGTGTCACTCATTTGGAGGAAAATCATAGTTTTTCTCAAAGAGGTTCAGATGGCTTGAAGATGGGAATCATCTAATGCATCAATCTATCCTTCCTTCCTTCCTTGGAGAAAGAAGACTTGGAGAAACAGGGGAGAGAGAACGTGGCCCCTGCTCCGTGACCTCCATCCACTCTTGTGGCTAGACAGACCGCATTTTGAGATGACATTTTGACCACCCTGGAAGACTTGACCATTGACCCACCTGCCCATCCACTGATCCATTGCACCGCTCCGTCTATCTTACACGTGGTGAAGGTCTGTCTGTGTGTCATGCCTTGTACTAGGCAGCGAATCCCACCAGCAGTTTCCTCAGTCCTGGGAGGAGAGACAGGGACCCATTACCAAATTTCAGTCTCCACCAGTAGGAGGCGTCTGACAGGAGAACTAAGCAAAGGCGTGAGGTGGCCTAGAAAGTAGCAGTAGTGTGAGGGACGGGATGCTGGCAGGTAGGCGGTCCGTGGTTAGTCAGTCTGCAGAGAATTGCGTTGTGGTGCTAGAGTCGCTTCACTAGCAAGTGGGCATGTGTTTGGTGGAGCCTGTCTGTAACCCCCTTTGACTCGTTAGGCTGGGGCCTAACACACGACGCAAAGGTGCTACAGCTCTCCTTCGAACTTCGTAGCATTGTCACTGGTGCTGGCTTCCACGTCTGGGCCGGCAGCCCAGCCCTGGGTGGGAGGTTGGAACCCACATCCCTGGCTCTGTCTGAGTCACCCCCAGCTGTTCGGGAGCTGAGCCTCAGGTCTCCACCTCCACTTGAGAGCGTGATTTTTGGGCCCCGCTTTAACTGTTTAATTAGCTTGTTAATTCGGATCTCTTGTTTATGTACTTTGTCACTTTCCCCTTCCGCGGAGGTCCAGAATGGTTAGAAGCTGGGACTTCTGAGTGTGTCCCCGGCATTGTCGTCGTCCTGTGTTTTGGATAAATGGGAAGCTTTCTGCTGTGTGATTCACGGAGTTTGCTCTCCTCGCACGCGGCGGGTGGCTGTGCCCTGGCCCAGTGTCATTGAGAAGAAATACCCGGGACTCCCCGTTTCATCAGCACTAGCTGCTCATATTAGCGGGAACATGCTTTGCTCACAGGGTCAGAAGCCGCTCATCAGTAGAACAAGGAATTAGTGGACTCTCCTTGCTGGTGCTGGCTCAGTTGGGGTGGGTTACTGCTGGGTCCTGCCTATGGGCCCTTTCTCACAGGGCTGCCCAGTCTTCTCCTAGGAGCTGCATGCCGTCGACTAAGCGACCAGTGACCACCTCTCTTGCTAGGTGGACAGGATGGGTGGGATTTGAGGGGAGAAAGGGGCGCGGACTTAACCTTCCCCTTCTCTGAAGTCCCTGCATCGGTGAGTCTCAACAACAGGTGATTTTTTTTTGCCCTCCAGGCAGCATTTGCAGGGCCTCAACGTCAGTGCTCCATTGCGGTGACAATGCAGCTTTCCCAGCTGGTGGCTCCTACTGGCACTTGGTGGGCAGAAGCAAAGGGGAGCTGTTAACTTCCTGCAGACCCTGCCCCCCCAGGAAAAGTTTTGCCTGGCTTCAAGTGTTCATCATGGCAATATGGAGAGAAATGCAACCCCCCCCCCCACCCCGAGATGGACAGCCCCGGCAATGAGTGTCCGGCGAAGGCCGTTCATAGCCCCCCCATCCCCCCAACAGGAGAACTTTCTGGATTTGTCTGCCTGTCTCTGCCCTCCCCCGGCAGCCGTGTGCCGCCTGCCTGCAGTGTCTGCCATGGAAAAATACTTTTTTCTCTGTTAGTCAGAGGCACTTGGAAAAAGTCCAAGAGAACCTGTTCTAATCTGGGAGAGTTGGCAAGGGTACCTGCATCGCAGGCTGGAGGCGCTGCATTCTAGAAACCTTACTGGCCGCTTCATGCTTCTGCTCATTGTTCTGAGGAATTTCAGAGGACTCCGGGGGGATTTTTTCCGCCCCCACACCCCCCACCCAGGGTGTCTTATGACCTCCTGCTGTCTCACCTGGCATTCACGATGTCCTGCCCTCTAGTGAGAGCTGGCTGGCAGGACAGAGGCCGACCACATTTGGTGGCCTTGTTTAAGTCACTTCCCCCAAGAGGCCCCCACGAGGCCTCCATCTCCTCATTTCTCCACTAGGACATTCCCATCTGCCTTCATTCTCCCGTCAGGGTGCCCTGAGGTCAGGGGTGGCTCTGTAGGAAGGAGCCCAGCTAGTTGGAAAATGCCCTGCCCACGTCAGTGAGAGGTACCCGAGGTGGGGCTGTGTGAGGATATTAAGGCATGAGTGGTTGCTTTGAGTAAGATTTTCTATTTTAGCCAGGTCCATGCAGGGCTTGAGACATACCGTCTTCTCCCCTGTGAGTTCACAAGCCACCGGCCAGCCTCTGCAGGAAAGGTGCCTAAACTCTTTCACAAGCAGCTGCCAAGTGACTCCTCCATCTGTTCAACAGTGGGGAAGGTCTTCATGGCCTTGTAGGTAATTTTCCCCCTTCAAATCCCGACCCCACTGGTTTCTTTATGGTGCTCATTCTAAGTTGTATCAGGTGACATCTGTTTGCAGTCTTGGTTGTTCACTGTTGAGCCCAGAGGTTTCCAGACTATCACCCTTTGTAAGAAATGCTGGTCTGGGGGTTGGAGCGATAGCACAGCGGGTAGGGCATTTGCCTTGCACGCGGCCGACCCGGGTTCGATTCCCAGCATCCCATATGGTCCCCCGAGCACCACCAGGAGTAATTCCTGAGTGCATGAGACAGGAGTAACCCCTGTGCATAGCTGGGTGTGGCCCAAAAAGCCAAAAAAAAAAAAAAAAAGAAAAGAAAAACTGGTCTGAACTGTCATTTCCATTCATGCTGGTTGTTGTGTTTCTGGCCTTTTCCCTGGTCCCTGGGGCGTATCAGGCACCTGGGAGGTGATGAGTAGGAGATCATTAGAGGAATGAAGGAAGGCATGAAGCCTGGTGGAGTGAAGGGTGTGCTTTGCTGTCAGGCAGGCGTAGGTGGCAGCTAGGCTGGCGGCATCCAGCTGTGCGACTGGGGGCCACTCCAGTCCTCTCCACTGCTCTCCATTAGGGTTTTGGCCCCTGCCGTCTCCCGTTCTGCTACACCACGTCGATCGGTGCCCTGTCTCCACACAGCCCCTCCCTCTCCGTCTCCATCGGCGCCC